TTCCCCTAGGCTCTTTGCTAGTCTCTCTCTCCGGTATTTTCCCACTTCTTCCCGCTTCTTCCCTCCTAGGTTTCCTATCCGAGTCACGGCACCATTTGCTGCTCCTCCGCACGCGGAGGAGCCATACCGGACCGGACGCTTGTTGTTCCCCTTTTTTACAAGTCTTTTCTATAGTAAAGTAAGAATAAGTAAACAGCGAACTCCCAAAGCAAGAATGATAGAGAGAAATGAGAAAGAACGAAGCAACAAACTTCCCCGCGAACTCTCCAACGCACTCTCCAACCAACCCACACCACCATGCCGTCTCTCTCCTCCTATATAGTCCTCTCCACCAATCCGTGCTCTGCTACCCACACACTGAGCACGCTGCTCTCCTCCAATCAGGAGCAGCTCCTGCAGCTTGTCAAGTTGGTGAGAGGCAGCTGGGTAGAAGCTGTTTGCTCCTCTCCCAGCGCCATATTGTGGGAGAGCAGATGTATAGAATAAGTCTTAATTCCAGTAACAGTATAGTCCGAGTTGCTCCCCACACCCTTAGTATCTGTGAGGGACGATACAAGGACACCCCCACCACCACCAAACCCACACAAACAGGGGAAAAATGACAGATGTTCAAATCTCCTAAGTGACGTGTTGTAGTATTTGCATATAATCTACACACATCCTCTTGTATTCTTAAGTCATCTCTACTTTACTTACAACACCTAATACAGTGTGAGTACTATGTAAATAGTTGTTATATGGTATTGTTTACGGAACAGTAACAGGAAAAAAAGTGCATGGGCAGTATAGAGTCCTGTTTCTTTTTTTTTTTTTTTGACAGGCAGAGTGGACAGTGAGAGAGAGAGACAGAGAGAGAAAGGTCTTCCTTTTGCCGTTGGTTCACCCTCCAATGGCCGCCGCTGCAGCCGGCGCACCGCGCTGATCCTGGCAGGAGCCAGGAGCCAGGTGCTTTTCCTGGTCTCCCATGGGGTGCAGGGCCCAAGCACCTGGGCCATCCTCCACTGCACTCCCTGGCCATAGCAGAGAGCTGGCCTGGAAGAGGGGCAACCGGGACAGAATCCGGCGCCCCAACCGGGACTAGAACCCGGTGTGCCGGCGCCGCAAGGTGGAGGATTAGCCTATTGAGCCACGGCGCCGGCTCTAGAGTCCTGTTTCTAAAAAGAATTCTTTGTTTATTTGAAAGTCAGAGAGAGAGGGATCTTCTACCTGCTGGTTGACTCCCTGAGGAGCCACAATGGCCAGAGCTAAGCCAGGACGAACCAGGGGCCAGGAGCTTCATCCAGGTCTCTCATGGGGGTGGCAGAGGCCCAGGCACTGTGCCCTCCCTCTTCTGCTGCTTCTCCCAGCTGATTGGCAGGGAGCTGACTTGGAAGTGGAGCAGCCAGGACTCAGACCAGCGCCCATATGGGATGCTGGTGTCACAGGTGGCGGCTTTACCTGCCTGCTATGCCACAGTGCTGAGCCCTGATGTGACTGATTTATTCATTTTAATCCATGGGTGTGAAACTCACAGATACAACTAGACACCATAATGTTTCCTTAGCCATGTAACAGTAACAGAAGCATAAAATCTTAGGTCACTGATAAGCAGCTACTAAGTTTAAGAAAGTTTAGGATGCACTTTTAACAGTTCTTTTCCTATAATTTACAATTTTCCATGGGCACTCAGATATTGAGAAACCGTTTCCAAGAAAGAAAATTTGAACATTGTTGGACACAATGTTCACAAAAGGTCTTTTATATATTTAACGTCTGCATTTCCTTTAAAAATGCATTTAATACTCATTCGGAATTATGAACATTTTGTGAGGAATAAATGAAGTATGAGGCCACTTCTTCTTAGGTGTAAAATTTAGCAATATTCCCAGTCTGTTGTGTTTCTTTCACAAAGGTCAGTAGATGTATTTAAGTCCAAAAACCTTCAGATAAGGGCACTGATTTGGGGCTTTGTATGTCCTGTTGCCTTCACCCCTGTCCTCATTGTATTCAGCAATGGTAATGCCAAGTCGTATTTTTCTGTTTTTCATGCAGTTTTCTAGAAAATATGGGTCAAAATAGTGCAAAAATTTTTTTAAGATTTATTTACTTATTTGAAAGGTAGAATTAGAGAGAGAGCAAAATCTTCCATCCTCTGCTTCACCCCTCACATGGCCGTGATAGCCAGCACTGGTCCAGGCCAAAACCAGGAGCCAGAAACACCATCCGGATCTCCCACGTGGGTGCAGAGCCAAACACCTGGGCCTTCTTCAGCTTTTCCCAGGCCATTAGCAGGGAACTGGATCAGAAGCGGAGCAGCTGGAACACCCACGAACACTCATGTGGGATGCCAGCATTGCAGGTGGCAGCTTTACCTGCTACCCACAGCATCGGCCCCAACACAAAATTTTTAAATAAATACATAGTTCCCAAGTTTGGTAAAGATGCCAAATATAACTAGGGGCAGATAGGCAGTGTTATTGGCAATGGCACAAAATGTTTTGTTCTTTGAAAAGTATGAGTCACGTGTGCAAAAGGTGATATGAAATGTTAGTGAAAAACACATGAAAAGCAAATACAAAAAAATTAAAAGTTTTCTTTCACAAAACAACTTTCTTGGCAAAAATTAAAGTGTTAAAAAGCTGGATTTTCATAGTCCATGTATACATTAGAATGAGCCAGAAAATTTTACAAAGTATTTTGACTTTATATAATTCACCACTTTTATATAATTTATATAATTCTACCACTTACATAGTTATTGTCACCATCTCTCACACAATCTCTAGGTACAATAACGTCAAGAGTTAGTACTACACTTCATGTTCCACCTCGGTATACACACACACACACCATACATGTACTGGGTCACTCCCCAAATGCCCCCAAGATCTGGGGCTGGCCCAGGCCAAAGCCAGAAGCCTGGAACTTCATCCAGAACTGCCCACGTGGATGCACACATTAGCAGGAGGCTGGAATCAGTGTCTACCGCTGTGCCAAACACCTGTCTCCTTGGGATTTGAGTCTCAGTTCTGCTCCCAATCCCAGCTACCTGACACTCTGGCATGCAGCAGATGATGATAAACTGGGTCCCTGCCTCCAGTTTGGACAACTTGGTTTGAGTTCCTGGCTCCTGGGCTTTTGGGGAGTGAACTAGTGGGTAGGAGGACCTTTCTCTGTTTCTGTCTCTCTGCCTCTCAAATAAATACTTAAAAAAAAAAAAATAAGGAATGTTAATATAGACTTGTATTTGGTAAACTCCAACATCCAGTCTGTAGTTGGAAATGGATTTGACTTCATGGCCAGTCAAATCCATCAGTCGTTCTCTGTGTAATTTGTTCCCCTCCTTTTCAGCTTTGAAAGTCTGTCATCATCTAGTTCATGGTGGTTGGAGTAGGGGCAGCCCTTGTGCAGCCTTGAGGCGTCTTCCCTCTGTCCGCACCGAGACTGGTGTAGCAGATAGAAAGGACCTGGTTTTCCAGGGACGCTGCTGAGTCTGCAGCAACTCCCATAGCACCACCTCCAGGCTTTATATTTTCTGAAGTTAAGAAGCCACTCTGATCAAGCCACGCATAGTCCAGGAACAGCTATGCGTATTTGAACTAGCCCACAGCCCGCCTTTGAGAAACATTGCCATAAATACCGATGTTGCCCAGGCTCCATGCTAGACCCCCTTCTCTCACATGGTACCCTCTCCCTGTGTGATTTCACTCACTCTCCTGGCTGGAAATTTCATCGATGAGGCCTGCTAAATCTGTCTCTAAATTTGACCTCCCAAAATATGGAACAAACTCTCCAATAGACATGGCTGGTTGATTGTCTCAACATGTCTCTAAAGCTGCTTATCCCCTGGACTTTCCCATTGCAGTAAATGGCACCACCATCTACTCAACTGCTCAAGCTAGCAACCCAGGAGTGGTTGCCACCCCCATTCCCTCACCCTGGGGTGCAGGCAATGGCCAAGTCTTGTATCTTCCCGGCATCCTCGCTGCCACAGTTAGGCAGGGCCGCCCTTTGCGCTCATCTGGGCCACTGGCACAGACACGTCCCCTGGCTTGCCTGCCTCTGTCTTGGTCCTTCCAATGGTTTCCCTGCTGTGCAGACAGAATGATCTTCCTGAGGTGCAGACCTAGTCGGATCCCTTCTCTGATGGACACTCTCGCCTGATGCCTTAGACTAGAGGAGTAATCCCTGGTGCACGCTCCCACTGCATCCTGTACGTAGAGTCACTGTGCCTTTATTGCACTTGTCTCTCTCTGTTCATCTCTCAGCTCTCTTAAGCACAGGAACTGGGGTACATACCCAACCCTAGCAACAGTGCCTGGCGTGCCTCACACTTCACTGTCCACGGCACGCCAGGGTGAGTCTACATTGGTGCTTTGTAAACTGTGGGTGGAGACCCATCAGTGGCTCATGAAGTCAATCTAGTACTTTACCATCAGCCTTAATTTAAAGAAGAGAAAGAAATGTAAAGACGAGCAATAAGATTATTTCACAAATCTTTCATTATAAAATGTGTAAAGCACGTCTTATGATGAGTTAGAATAAAGATGGAATCAGGAGGCTATAATAAACAAGCACTTTTTGTCTATAGTGAGAAAAAGCAGTTATATTTAGAAAAAAAATCTGAAACCCTTGGTAACCAAAAGAGACTTGGGGATCTGCACTTTAAGCAATTTCAAAGCCTTAAATGCAAGGAAGAAAGTGCCTACTTTTGAGTTTCAAGTTTCTGTGAGCAAATGACAGAGGAATTTAAAATCTATCACAGCCCTTGCCTGGCAACTATTGCCACAGGCAGATTAAGCCCAGGAGTGCTGTTAAATTCTATGAATTTTGCCTCTGAAAACACACTGTACGCCTATTTTGTTTCATGGCTGATGATGAAAATGGAAACTCAGCATCCAGAGTGTGAATTCCTGGCTGTTGAAGGTGGTCACCGTTGTGGGCCTTGTAGAATGTAACTGCTGCTTTTGCAACCTTCTCTTTAAGAAGAGTGCCCTGAGCCAATGAGGAGTGGCGATTCTGTTCCCATAGCAATAAAAGAAACAAACCTTCCCTTGCCATCTCCCAAGGACAAACCTCCCGGTTCAGGTCCAAGTAGAGGAGACCTGGACAGAGGCGTGACTTCCTCGTCTAGTCTGACTCATTGCACTACCAAGAGATTCCAAGTGGAGGGTCTTTAGAAGGGGAATTCGCATTCAGGCCAGTTCAGCCTTGCTGAAGCCTTCGGTTGGATCCCCTGGGAGTCTGTCTCTGCACAGCGCGTGCTGTGGGTTTTCTGCCTTGGCCTTTAATGACCACGGAAAGTCTTGAGTTCTCCAACCCTGGGGTTTGATGTAAAATGAACTCTGGTTTTGTGTTGATGGGGAATAGTTTCTTTAGAATGTTGTGGTTTCTTTGAGACTCGACTTGAGATGAAACTGCTTGGGAAAAAATAAATCTGGGCCATCCAAGGTAAGCTCTTTGGAAAAGATGTTTTCTATGATTTTTATCCCTGCTGCTTTTTAATACTAACCATGTCGGTGCACTGGTGACTACGGTGTCACCAACTGCCGCATGCAGCCTGTTGGGCCTCAGGTAAAGTCATCAGGGAGAAAGTTAGCAAAGGAAAAGATTCTTGTGTGTGTGCACGCACACACACACACACACACGCCTATATAGTCAGAGCCGTACAATGGGCTATCAAGCCACAGCAAATGCAGATTTACCTGTGCTGAGATGGAACTATCCACTACATAGCCTGTTATGTAAAAACAACAAGATACAACATAATAGGCAATTGTTCTGATCTACACTAAAACCAATTTACTATTCATAATAAATATTACTTTGGAAGGGCACCAAAAGAAGTGTTAGCGATGGTTGCCTCTTGGGAAGGCGCAGGGAGTCAAGGACTGACACTGGCTGCTAGGCAGAGTGGCGGCGCTGCTGAAATGCGACTGGCCTCTGCCCACGCCCCTCAGATGTCCTCCCTGCCACTTTGGTTGTCCTAGCTCCTCCCTTGGCACTCCCAGACCCCCTCGTGATGCCTGGCATGGGTATGGAGTGGGGTCCTCCAGGACCCTGTTCCCACCGTATAGTTCGTGTCTGTTCTGATTGTCAACAGCATTGTCTCGCTGATTGTTACGTGTTTGGAGTGTCACCCCGTGGGTGTTCAGAAGAGCGCCCTTGACTTTTTAAAAGCAAAAGAATATAGACCAAGGCCTTGTGTAGTGTGGGGGGGAAGGGGGACATGAAGACAACCAAGTGGTCATCAATGCAAAACCAGGTAAATATGTAAATGGGTATATTCATTGAATAGAGATTGCATGGTTAAGATAATATAGAAACAAATCCCAAATTCATTTTTTTGAAGACTTATTTATTTATTTGAGAGACAGAGTTGCAGAGAAAGAGAGGGAGAGGCAGAGAAAGAAGTCTTCTATCTGCTGATTCACTCCCCAAATGACCACAATGGCCAGAATTGAATGGATCCAAAGCCAGGAGCCAGGAGCCAAGAATTCTTCTGGGTCTCCCACATGGGTGCAGGGGCCCAAGCGCTTGGGCCATCTTCTACTGCCTTCCCAGGCATATTAGCAGGAGCTGGATAGGAAGAGAAACAGCTGGGACACGAACCTATGCCCATATGGGATGCTGGCCGCAGGTCAAGACTTAACCTACTACACCACAGCGTTGGCCCCTCAAACTCATTCTAAATATTTGTTTTAGAATAATCTGGTGTTGGCAGAATGAAGTGTGTATAGATACAGTATAGTATAGTAGGTATGAGAGCTTAGTCACAAACTTCTGTTGAAGCTAGGCGAAGAGTGAGTTCATTATACTGGATTTGTTGAAAGCAAAAAAATGTATCTATGACAAAGTATTTTTTGTTACCATTGAAAATTCTATAAATCCATTTCTTTAGAATTCTGGAAAATGTTACATAAAATATTTTCAGAGCAAGGGCTGATCAAGTCACCGTTTCTCATAGTGTTCATTTCACTTTAACAGGTTTCCTTTTTGGTGTTCAGTTAGTTGTCACCGATCAGGGAGAACATATGATATTTGTCCCTTTGGGACTGGCTTATTTCACTCAGCATAATGATTTCCAAATTCCTAACAGGGATCACTTTTCAGTTAAAATTTAAACACCTAAGAATAATTGTGTGTTAATTACAGAGTTCAACCAATAGTACTAGAACAAAAAAAAAAAAAAAAAAAAAACACTAAAATGGATAAAGTATTACATTGTACATCAACGGTCATGACAAGAGCTAATCAAGTCAGTCCTTGCCCTGACTGTTGATGAACAACTTAATACGTTATCCCTCTTAGTATTTTTGTTTGTTTGTTCTACTTAATACTTTTGGTTGAATACTGTAATCAATACACAGTTATTCTTAAGTGTTGAAACTTAAAGGAAAAGTGATCGCTGTTAAATATAAGAGTGGGAGTAAGAGAGGGAAGAGATGTGCAATTCGGGACATGCTCAAGCTGACCTGCCCCAAACGGTAGAGTTAGAAACATACCAGGGGATTCCAATTCAATCCCATCAAGGTGGCATGTACCAATGCCATCTCACTAGTCCCAGTGATCAATTTCTATTCACAATTGATCATAATGATAGGACTAAGAGCCAAAGGGAGCACATAAACAAGACTAGTGTCTGCAAATACTAGCCAATAGAATCAAAAAGGGAGAGAATGATCCAACATGGGAAGTGAGATACACAGCAGACCCATAGAATGGCAGATGTCCTAAACAGCACTCTGGCCCTCAGAATCAGCCCTTAAGGCACGTGGATCTGGCTGAAAAGCCCATGAGAGTATTTCAGGCATGGAAAGCCAAGACACTCTGTCAAAAAAAAAAAAAAAACTAAATGAAAGATCTCTGTGAGTGAGATCCCAGTGGAAAGAACAGGTTATCAAAGAAGGAGGTACCTTTCTCTGAAGGGAGGAGAGAATGTCCACTCTGACTACGACCTTGTCTAAATATGATCAGAGTCGGTGAACTCAAAAGGCTTCCATAGCCTTGGCAACTCATGACAAGAGCCTAGGGTGATTACTGATGCCATAAACAAGAGTGTCAATTTGTTAACAACAGGAGTCACTGTGCACTTACTCCTTATGTAGGATCTCTGTCCTTAATGTGCTGTACAGTGTGATTTAATGCTATAAGTAGTACTCAAACAGTATTTTTCACTTTGTGTTTCTATGTGGGTGCAAACTGATGAAATCTTTACTTAATATATGCTAAACTGATCTTCTGTATATAAAGAGAATTGAAAATGAATCTTGAAGGGGGGAGGGAGCAGGAAAGGGGAGGGTTGCAGGTGGCAGGGAAGTTATGGCGGGGGGAGCCATTGTAATCCATAAGCTTTACTTTGGAAATTTATATTCATTAAATAAAAGTTAAAAAAAATATTTTCAGAGGTCATCTTGAAGTGCTAGTAATTTTTACTTCCTTAGGCTTTTCTGTTATAACTTTCTTTACAATGAACTTGTTTCAATTTCACACACACACACACATACCCCTTTTCTCCCAAAACTGCAGAAATGAAAGCTTCTAGTCACAAAAAGCCACTGTAGTGTTGATGGTATTCTTTTTTAAATATTTATTTATTTTATTTGAAAAGCAGTTACACAGAGAGCTGGGGGGGGGGGGTGTCTTCTATCCACTGGTTCACTCCCCAGGTGGCCACAACAGCCAGAGTTGGGCCAACTGAAGCCAGGAGCCAGGAGCTTCTTCCAGGTCTCCCATGCAGATGCAGGGGCCCAAGCACTTGGGCCATCTTCTACTGCTTTCCCAGGTCATAGCAAAGAGCTGGACAGCAAATAGAGCAGGTGGGGCTCAAACCAGTGCCCACAGGGGATACTGGCACTGCAGGCCAGGGCTTTAACCCGCTGCGCCACAGCCGGCCCCGGTTGATGGTATTCTTAGGCTGCAGTTTTTGAGAATGCGCTGTGTATAAGGCCTGTGCCCCAAGCTGGTCTCATTTGAAGTACACAGTGGCCCCCTGAGGAGTGAACTCCCATGGTCTCCAATTTCAGAGAGGAAACTGGGGCTCAGAGAAGCAAACCTAGCTGCCTTATGGCCCCTGGCCTGAGAGGCAGAGGCGCCTCCACACCATGTCAGACCCCGGATGTGAGCAGTGGTCCCTTTGCTGGCACATGGACCATGGTCTTTTAGGCTGAAGGCCATGGTCTCGGGCTGAGGGCCTTCGGTTTTGTGCCAAACATACACAAGTCCTCAAAACTTCCACAGAAAATGGAATTAAAAGATAAATATATTTTTAGTGTGAAAAAATTTCAAATCCATGCATATTTTTCATAATATCCATTTTCCATGAACTTTTTGAAGCCCCTTCACACTCACACCCCCTGTATGATATTGTGTTTTCTGGCTTTTGTGGAATTCCAAAGCTTTTATTCCTGTCCTGTCATCTTAGTGAGGTTCTGGAAACAAAAGAAGATAACACGTGTGGCCACGCCTTCCTGCTTCTCTGTTAGCTCCTAACAGGGGGTCTGCCATCTGCGGAGCTGGAGAAGAGCTTCCCCTCTGTGATTCAGGAGGTGACCAGGAAAGAGGACCTGGGAGATTTCCTTGTGTTGTTGTTAGAGTAACAGAACTAGTGTTCCAGAAAGTTCTATGAGGGATCTGCCATGGGGATTTCCCTTCACATCACCAAGAGCCATTGCAGCCTGATGAAAGGCAGAGGCTTGGGAGTCGGGGGCACTTAGGCTTGTTCCCAACACAGCAGTGTGCTACCTCCGTCCTTAGCTGTTGAAGAACCTTAAAAATCAAACCAAGATGGAGTGACCTAAGCCAATACCATTAAAAACAAGAAGTCACCTTTGCCCCAAATAAAAATTAAAGTTTTTTTTTTTTTTTGACAGGCAGAGTGGACAGTGAGAGAGAGAGACAGAGAGAAAGGTCTTCCTTTGCCGTTGGTTCACCCTCCAATGGCCGCCGCGGCTGGCGCGCTGCGGCCGGCGCACCGCGCTGATCCGATGGCAGGAGCCAGGAGCCAGGTGCTTTTCCTGGTCTCCCATGGGGTGCAGGGCCCAAGCACCTGGGCCATCCTCCACTGCACTCCCTGGCCACAGCAGAGAGCTGGCCTGGAAGAGGGGCAACCGGGACAGAATCTGGCGCCCCAACCGGGACTAGAACCCGGTGTGCCGGCGCCGCTAGGCGGAGGATTAGCCTAGTGAGCCGCGGCGCCAGCCAAAAATTAAAGTTTAAAAATTACAGCCCTAAACTTTTTCCCCCAAAGCTAAAATTAGGTGCAGCTATAAAAATAAGAGACCCTATGCTTAGCTAGCTGTGACACTTGTGCCTGGCTGTGCTAAGACCTAACCCAGTTTGTATGCTTCCTAATACTCAAATAACGGTGTGGGAAGCGGGACGCCGCTCTCCCACAAGGGGAACAAAGGGAGGGAGACGTCATCCCCCCTCAGGGTGAACAAGATGGCGCTGGCAGGGAAAGGAACTACTAAAGAAGTAAACAACAAAATGGCGATGAGGTGCATGCCTCCCATGTGATCCCGTAGCTGATTGGATAGAAGACGCATGCCCTTCACATGATCAGCTCGCGGATTGGACTGATGTGTGCATGGACTCTATAGTGCTTTTGATTGGTCGCTGCGGGTATATAAACCGTGTGGCTTTGTACTGGGGGGGCTCTCTGGACTCCCGAGTTCAGGAGGCCCGTCTGCGCAGCCGCCAAATAAATCCTCTTGCTTTTGCATCAGCTGGTCTGGAGTCTGAGTCTTTGGGGTGTGCCTCTCGACGTGTTATTAGCATCCTCACTCCGAGGGTCTAACACTGTGAACTCGGGACAGCAATGTCCGAGTGCTTGTTGTGTCCCTGGCTCACAGTTGTGGGGAGCAACTGGGAGCAACTCGGACTAGACTAAGTTACTGGAATTAAGACTTATTCTATGCATCTGCTCTCCCACAATATGGCGCTGAGAAGGGAGAAACAGCTTCTACACAGCTGCCTCCAGTTCAACCAATAAACTGTAGGACCTGCTCCTGATTGGAGGAGAGCAGCGTACTTGGCGTGTGGGTAGCAGAGTTGGGATTGGTGGAAGAGGATTATAAAGGAGGAGAGAGACAACATGCACCAGGAACATCTAAGGGGAACATCTAGCTGAAGGAACACCTGTGCAGCCCCCGAGAGAGCCGGCCGGCGGTGTGTCGCTCCCCTGCGGAAGTGGGGAAAGTGGCCAGGGGGAACCGCCCTTCCACGGAGGTGGAAGGGACAGTAGCCAACCCGGGAAGAACCAGCAGCAAACCCGGGGAGGGCCGAGCAGACAAAAGAACAGCGCAGGGTCCTGTGTCGTTCCTCCATGAAGAAGGGGAGCGACACACAGTGGCACTCAATTATGGAAAATTTTAAATTGCTCTCAAGTCTACCGGGTAGCAGGGGGTGAGATGTTAAAAGATGAAGGTAGTTAAAATGTTTGTGGCCAAGTGGGACTAAAAGATATATTTACTTTGGGATAGAACAATTTGAAATCCATGCAAAGTTTTTTTTTCATGATATGCATTTTTCATGAACGTGAAGCCCTTGCACCAGACTGACAGCTTCTGGAATCCGCCATTGTCCTCTGGGCCTTCCTGAGCCCTTCCCTGTATGTCTCTTAAGTGTTTATGCTTTGATCCTGAATGGTTAACCTCTCTGTTGTTATTTTCCCATTTCAGCAAACATTTCTTGACCTAGCAGCCAAGACCGCCCCTGACCTGGGACCATGCACCCCAACCCTCTCATCTATTGCACCTGCTGGGACCCCTGGAACCTGGGACCACGAAAGTTGATTAAGACCCCTCATCCACCAAGCCAGACCACCACAGGACGGACCAAGTAAGGATTATGTGACATTGGGTAGGTAAAGGGTTTGGGTTCCATTTGTAGCTTTCTTACTCCCTCAAGATTTTCAAAACCATCATCTTAGTAGCAAAATCCCAGGTGGTCCAGAAGACCCAGCCTGACACAGCCTGCCCTACCAGACTATCGGCTGCACACTGATCTCGCCAATCCTGTCTGTGTTAGTGTGGTTTTTCAAATGAGAAAGTCTCCAAGTTGGTGCATCAGGGAAAGCACAGTTTCCAAAGGGCCTTGATGGTGGCTGCCCCTTCCATGTGGGACAAGAGCTTTAGGAACTGAGGGACAAAGCCTGACGCCAGCCCCGGGGTTCCCTGAGACAGCGAACAAGAGCCTAGGTTCCAAAGATCTCAGATCTTCAAGATCCTACTTGTGTTTCAATGTCAGGCCACCATGGGAATATATTTCATCTAGGAGTGTCCCGTGTGGGTGAATGTCCAGTTTTCCCTTTCTGGTTATTAATTCTTCCTTTTCAGGCTAGCTCCTCTTCAGCCAGCTTCAAAAGACCAAAATTACCTCCAATCCCAACCAACAGCAAAACCTGTTGTCAACCCAAAGTAAGTATTTTTATGACTATGAGGCAGGACTGGTTCGAGACATGAATAAAATCATCTCCCACCTCAGCCTTCACAGCCCGATCTGTCAGGAACTGCCTGAGACGTCAGAGAATTGCTCAAATCCACCGTGAATTCCCCCAAACCTCGGGCCCCACACATAGCTTCTGTGATTCGTCTGTACCCACAGCTTCCAATTCACTGCAAAAGAGCTCTCCGCAGTCTGTCGTGATGTCCGCTAACTTTATCTCACATCTACACACACACACAGGCTGCTGTTGTATCTGCGGGTTCTGCATCGTGGATCCAACCCACCATGGGTGAAAATATGTTGTTGCAAAGAACAATGTGTCTGTATTAAACATGTGCAGATTGTTTTTCTTGTCATTGTTCCTTAAACAATACAGCAATGATTTACATAGTATTTACATGGATTAGGTGGTATGAGCAATCCTGAGAAGGTTGAAAGTGTCCAAGATGGGTGTAGGCAGGTGGTTTGCTCATGCTATGTCGTTTTAAACGAGGAATTTGAGCATCTGTGAATTTTGGTATTCATCGGGGGTGGGGGATCCTATAGACAATTTCCCATGGATACTGAGGGAACCACTGTGTTACTCATCTCACTTTTAATCTAAGTTACTCCTTATAGAGGTACAGCTATGCATACATAGATACGGCATTCATTTTGCATGTAGCATGCGTGAAGATTTGAAGGAGGACATGTACAGTTTGCTTCATTATCTGAATATTTCATTATGTAAACTGTTTCCATGTTCCAAACGAAGAAGGCTGCACAGTGTATGTGTGTGTGTGTGTGCATGTGTGCCATATGCTGTGTGCGTGTGCCATGTGTGTGTGGCAGGTGTCACCTGGTTCACAGGGCCTTGCTGCAGGGATGCGGTGTGGGGGACCCTCTATCCGGCTGAGACTCCCCTAACCTTGTAAGAAGAACTCTTTTTTTCTCCTTGAGCAGGAACTTTTCATGAGAGTCCCTCAGGGGCCCTGAGTCCATGCATTCTGCTGCTGCCTTGGGGGTCCTCTAAGGAGGCCAGGTGACCAGAGCTCAGAGAGTAAGGGTGCGATGATGCCAGGAGCAGGTGCAGCTCCTAAGCTTGGAGCTTCTCTTTGCTCCTTGGTTGCTCTCTGAGCACGTCTTTCTCTTGCAGAATGAAAATCCCTTTAGGAAGGCAAGAGGAGAGCAACAGATCGCCTTACGTGAGTCAACTCAGGAGAGGGCAGCGGGGCTGAGATGCACGGAGCAGTGGGCACTTGCAAGCCCGGGCCTTTGACAAACACCTTGTTGGGTCTTCACAGCGATCCTGGGAGGAGGGGCTATTATTATCGCTCATTACCCCAGGGCTGGTTAATACAGAACAGAACAGTGACCTGAGGTCAACTCAGCCAGACTCCAGGGTGAGGCTTTAAACCATTTTATTTATTTATTTATTTATTTGAGAGACAGAGAGAGGGAGAGAGAGAGAGGGAGACCCACCCAACTGCTGGTTTACTCCCCAAATTTCGGCAACAGCCAACTGAGGCCAGATCTGGCCACAGTGGGTCAGCCAGGAGCTGGGAATGCAAGCCATATCTCCACAGGAACCCAGTTCTTTGAGCCATCCCTGTTGGCGCCTGGGAACTGCGTTAAGCAGGAAGCTGGAGGCAGGAGCTAGAGGTGGGAATTGAACCCAGGTACTGTCATGTGGGATGTGAGTAGGCTAAACGCACACCCCCAGAGTGAGCGTTTCATTGCCACTCTCTACTGTCTGTGCAGGGCAGAGAGCACCCCAGGGAAACCCCAGTGACAACTAGTCCAGACACAGCACAGCTTGTGTTCAGGTGCGGGATCCCTGCTACCTCCCTGGGAAAGGCACAGATGCTCTGGGAGGAACTGTCAGGGGCATTGTGGGTGCCAGGGACAAGAAGGGACTGGGAAACACGGGAGAGACTGAATCCAGACGCCTGCTGGGAGTGAAGGCCTGCTCCTTGTGGTGTCCAGGAAAATCATCAGTCTGCTTATCAGTCTGCTCAGTACTGGCAAGGTTTGCCTTTTAGGAGCAGCGCCCCCTGGTGGGATAATATGGGTGCTTTTTACTATTGTCTGTTTTCATCTATTTTTCTCCCTTAAGAGACTTTCCATTCTTTGAAACCCAGGACAAAATAATTACCCTAAAGGTAGAAAGAATGATGGACTTTGGGGGAGCCAGACGGAAGGCAGGGAGGCCAGGTGGGAAGGCGTTGCAAGAGCCCAAGAGCCAGATGATGGCACAGGCTTGCTGACTGTAGAGTCTGGTGGGGAAAGAAGGAGAAACTGAATACAATTTTTTTGCAACTGTGTCATTCCACTTTTTTCCTTACAGAACCCTTTTGAGGAAAAGTTATTAACACCCTTGTCTTCCTTTTTAAAATATTATTTTATATTTTTTAAATCAGAGAGAGAGATGGATATCTCCTTATCTTCTGGTTCACTCCCCAAATACTCCCAATGAAGGCAAGAGCTAAGAACTCAACCTGGATCTCTCACGGGCATGGCAGGGATCCAAATACTTGAGCCATCACCTGCTGCCTCCCAGGGTGTGCATCAGTGGGAAGCTGGAATTCAGAACAGACCCAGGAGTTAAACCCAGGCACTCATATGTCCCAAGTGGCATCATCACCACCATGCCTCACGTTGACCTCTACGACCCACTCTTTCTGATAAGAAAACTGAGTCACAGAGATGTTGAATAGCTACTGGTTTGTGGCAGAGCCAACATCTCACTCCAGATCTGTCCATCCCCTCAGCCTTGGCAGCCTTCTCAGTGCCTGGCTGCCTCCTGGCTCTGGCCATGATGGAGAACACAGAGGAGGAGCAGGGGCAGAGCGCGGGGCAGGACAGCGATGGTTTGGTTTGGCACCATTGAGCTTGAGAGGTCTCCAGGGACAGCCAGGAGCCAGCGGGTATTGGGATTGGTCCTCAGGGGTATGAAGGTGAATTTAGGAAAGGGGGGGGGGCACTGCAGTCTCATCTTGTGCTTCTGTTCTTAAGTAAGACTGCCTTGGCCAGATCTCAACATGCCAAGCCTGCAACTTTATCTTACTTTCCTCTTTGGTGCCTAGGAAGTGATCAATGTGTCACCTGGCTATCAGCTTATTCGGAATCGAGAGCAGATTTCCGTCACCTTAGGAGACGAGATGTTCAGTAGGAAAAAACGGTTGGAATCAGAGATCACGGACAAAGTCGAATTTTCCAGGTAACATCTTTGGAACAACATCCAGCCCCTGAGAGCTGTCCTCACTGCTCATCCTGGCCTGAAGGACCAGCCTCTGCCGCCCACACAGGCCGTCGGTCCCAGCTCTGAAGGTGCTGCCAGCTCACCTCCTGCCCACGCCTTCTCTCCACACGCATCTTGCTCTGCTCTGATCCCATTTGTGAGCAGATCCCGGGGATCGCTCTCAAATTGTTCTCCTCCCTCAGGCTTTAGTTTACTGTGAGAATTATTCTTCCAAGACAGAACTCTAAAAGACTAATAGTAACAGCAGAAAACACACACATAGTAAATAATACTAGTAAGACTGGCCTAGCTAGCTGTGAGTGTAGAGGAAGGATCCAAGCAAACTCTCTCGAGGGTTACCTCGGGGAAGGGATTCAGGTTTGGGGGGAGGCTGGGAGACACCCAAGTTGAGTGAGTTCATGCCATAGAGCCAGCCTGATCTGAGCTGGCCCAGAGAAGCCACACTCAAGTCTTTGTCCTAGCCTCTGCTTGCCTTTCCCTCTTCATCCATGATCACCTACAGGAAGAAAATGAGTTGGATTAGTTAGCTTGTGCTGCTAAGCGCCTGAGATGAGTGACTTAGGAAAGAAATAGATGTTTATTTAGCCCCAAGTTTTGGAGGCTGAAAGTCCCAGTGAGCTGATGCAGGCTTTGGCAAAGGCTACACTGTGGATGCTGGAGCTCATGCAGAGGGAGCCATCACATCGCGAGCCAGGAAGCAGAGAGAGTACGTGCAGTTGGGCCCAAACTCAGGTTTTCTGATAACCCTCTCATGACAGATATCTTGTAAGGCCACCAAGGACCTGAGGACTTCCCATGAAGCCCACCTCCTAATACCATAATTGGATTAAGTTCCCACCCTCTTCGTACCTCTTCCTCGCCATTTTGGAGTCTAAGGCTCTGCCTGAGTGCAGAGGACAAATCATTGAAACCGAAGACGGGGTGATGCATCCGTAGACAAGCTGGCACTGACAGCTACCTCTTGGCCTCAGCAGAACCCTGTCATCAGCTGCGGTGTGATAAAACACAGTAGCCCTTGTTTGTTTTGCTCCCCGGTCTAGCTGTGAGCATCTCTTGCATTGAGGGTTCTTTTTGAAAGACAGAGGTTTCCCATTAGGCAGCTGTCTCAACCCCTCCTCCCCTTTCATGTCCTCTCTTGTTTTCTCAGCTCACATTCTCTCTGTGCCCAGTTAGACATGGAGGATGGTTGGCCAAAGGGGCCAGAGCTCTTCAGCTGAAGGCCTCCTCTCGGCTCTGCTGCACATCACACTGTGGTACCCAGTCTACCCCGGTCCAGCCAGATAGAGTGAAATATCCTATGGCTGTCATGGCAGCCCCAAGCCTGGAAACACAGAAATCTATCTGTTCTGAAATCTATCTGTTCTCTCAAGTGCCCTCTTTCCCTTGGCCCATTTCCTTGTGTGGGATTCAGTGTCAGCATCAGTCCTATTCCCCCATCTTCTCATCTCCTAATCCTCTGCACTTTCCCCTTTGTCCATTTCAGCTGTGGTTTCCAAATCAAGGTCAAACCCTTTCTGGTGCATTCCTATTTCCCTTCTGCTCAACAGGGTCCCATACCACCCTGTTCACTTCCAGCTGGCTTACCCATCCAAAATGCAAGACCTGAGGTTCACCACACAGCTGTGAAATGCCTTTCTCCAAGACCACCCTTCAAATCCTCTACCCCAACTCTATAATGATGCAGCAGGTGTAGAACTTGCCCTGGCTCTCACCAGGCCAGAGTCAGTTACACCTAGGGGCTGCACCTGGAAGCCCTGCGGATGGGATAATAGAATGACTTGTCCCACAGGACCAATGTCATTCGTGACCTAGAAGAGCAGATCTCAGAGCTGACGGCAGTAATAGAGCAAATGAACAGAGACCACCAGTCTGCCCAGAAATTGGTGAGTGATCTTGCATTTTCCCACATCTCTATGGGTAGAGCAAGACTAATATTTTCAGATTACCTGTGCACCAGGCAAGCACTTTACTATGTCAGCCACCTCTTCCAGGACCCAGAAGACAGGATCATGTCGCTCAGTAACACACCTCTGACTGTTCTAATCCATAACTACAAGAACTCAAGTCCCTGCTTGAAGCCTAACGCATTCGTTTCCAGGAGTTCTCTGGCTGCTTCCTGTGTGCGCAGTGACACTGTCCTCTCCACGTGAGGGGGCACCAGTATTCCTCATCCAGCTTTTGTGGGGAGTTAAGCTTCAGGGGTTGTGAGGCTCCTGCTAATGGCATGGGCACAGGCATGCTTCTAACGTTGCTCCAAAGATTCCTGGAAACCTCCACTACCCACCCTCTGTTCCTGTTAAAACCATCAAGGCGGCCAGCGCCGAGGCTCACTAGGCTAATCCTCCGCCTTGCGGCACCAGCGCACCGGGTTCTAGTCCCGGTCGGGGCGCCGGATTCTGTCCCGGTTGCCCCTCTTCCAGGCCAGCTCTCTGTTGTGGCCAGGGAGTGCAGTGGAGGATGGCCCAAGTGCTTGGGCCCTGCACCCCATGGGAGACCAGGAGAAGTACCTGGCTCCTGCCATCGGATCAGCGCGGTGCGCCAGCCACAGCACGCCGGCTGCGGTGGCCATTGGAGGGTGAACCAACGGCAAAGGAAGACCTTTCTCTCTGTCTCTCTCTCACTGTCCACTCTGCCTGTCAGAAAAAAAAAAAAAATCAAGGCGCGTACAGCAGAATCTGCTGATGTCATATCTCTTTTAAAAAAATTATTATTTATTTGAAAGTCAGAGTTACACAGAGAGAGGAGAGGCAGAGAGAGAGAGAGAGAGAGAGAGGTCTGCCATTTGCTGGTTCACTCCCAAATTGGCCGCAATGGCCGGAGCTGGGCTGATCCAAAGCCAGGAGCCAGGAACTTTTTCTGGGTCCCCCACATAGTGCAGGGGCCCAAGGACTTGAGCCATCCTCTACTGTTTCCCAGGCCATAGCAGAGAGCTGGATCAGAAGTGGAGCAGCCAGGTCTCGAACCAACGCCTATATGAGATGCCAGCGCTTCAGGCCAGGGCGTTAACCCACTGTGCCACAGCGCCGGCCCCTGCTGTCATTTCACACTGCTTGTGTTTCCTGGGGTACAAAAGCAATACTTTACATTTTGCCATGTTTCGCCATGGGAGCTTCTTCCCCAACTCAAGTAGGTGTCCTGGTGGCCTGGGCTGGACTGATAGGGACCAGGGCTGGGCTCAGCCTCCCTGGTGTGTGAGGTTCCACTTCTCAGCAGGCAGCCCCTGACCCTCTGATATCCCATACCTGTGTGAAACCTGCAGGGACTCGGGCCAAGACCCTCCCCTCCCCTCCAACTCCTGATACATTGCTTTTTTTCTGAAATTTTTCTGAAAATACTGATGGACTTACAGTTTCCTTCTGTGGAAAGGAAATTGAGGCGCAAAGCAGTTAGATCATTTGCATAGGCTCACTCAGTTCCACAGTGAGTCACTGGGCAAAAATGCACATTTTGACTCAGGAGCCTGGGCCTTGCTGCAGACATGGTTAGACATGGTTTCCATGAAGGGACCCTAATTGTGATCTTGCAGGTGTTCCCACTTCTGAGCACCCCACATGTGCTGTGTCACTGTGTGGAAGGGAGAACTGGCCACTGCCTCCATGCTGTTCAGCAGCTATGCCAGGTAGTGCCTGAAGCCCCCTGCCCTAGTGGTTAGAGGGGAACCAAAACAAGCCCAGAACCCTGGTCTTAGCCAACAGTGGGTCCTCAGCTGACAGTGGACATTCATTTCTCCTGAGACCCAGGTCAGAGGACCTGACGTGTTAGAATGGAGGATCGGCTGCAGGTGAGCACATCCTATCTTCTAAAACCCAACCATGCTGCCAACAAGGACTGATTAATACTGGGTTTTAAGCTTCTTTAAAGGAAGGAGCTGAGTCTTAGTCCTCCTTGGCTCTTCTAATGCCCCATGTAATTATATATCAAAGAATCCAAAGGCCTTAATCTTGTAAAGAGATGAGAATCTAGCAGACAAGAACAGAAAACAGCAACAGAGATGACGTTCATGCACCAACATTATGAACTGATGCCGTACAGAATGGCGCAGAGCAAGGCAAGAATCGTTCCGCGACCTCAGTAGTCACGCGCCCTCTGGCCCTGCGGGCACAGCAGGAGAAGCATGGGGAAGGGGCCGCGCCTCGTGCATGGGGAGTTTTCTCAGACGATGCAAACCCGGAGCAGGGCTGAAGTCCTCAATCCTCTGTCGTTAATGCTGGCCTCCTTTCCAGCTTGCCGATGAAATGGAACACCGCTGTGCTGAGATGAAACAGAACTTCGAGAGCAAGAACAGGTAAGCTTTCTGGCGCGAAGCTCTGTGTGCCATGCTCTGTGGCCCCTGTGGGCTCTGCAGGATTGCACTTCCCTGGGACCTCGGACAGTGCCAGGTGGAGTCGGGGTCAGAGGTGGAGTCGGGTGAAGCGTGAGTCTTTGCAGAGCAGGCCGGCTTGCATGAGGCCAGCAGAATGAGGCAAAGGTTATTCCTGGGTTTTTTGTTATCCAATTTTTTTTCCATTTCAACTATAATTTTTCTGTTGTTTTTTTTTTTTTTTCTCTTGGTTGCTGAGAAAAGCCAGTTTTTATTCTCTGTGAGATTTCTGAGACGAACAACTGCTGTTCTCATTCCAATCTCTTCCTTCCTCCTCCTCTTCCCTCCCTGGGCTCTTCCCACCTCCCACCTCCACTTCCCCTGGCTGCTACGTCAGGGCCTGAAAAAGACAACAGGAAGAAGGCATGGAAGGGGCAGGGTGATGAAAGTCAAGGAGACATTAAAATGACGTGTGGCATCTGTATGGGCGCTGGGAACTTCAGAATCTCCTTCTAGGCTCACTGCTGGGCCCCAAAGCACCCTCAGAAATCCTGGCAGAGGGATAGTGCTGCTGGTCGAGTCACTGCCATTTATATATGCCTTCTGTATTCACTAACTTGATTTTAAGAATTAGTTTTATAGAAAAACTGGGAGAAAATTAGGGTTTCCATATACTCCCCTGCCAACCAAATTCATTAAAATTAAATAATTCAAACCAAGGAGGAATACACAGATATTACTATGCTTTCAAAAATCAAGACAATGAAAAAATGCTGACAGCAGCAGGGATAAGAAACACATCACATACAAAGGAGTACGACTATGACTACCAGATGGTTTCTCAGCAGAAATGTGGCAGGTCAGGAGAGAGTATGATATATGAGAATACATCAAAAAGTTATCGAGTAGTTGAATTAACAGATAAGCTGGGGATGGCACTGTTGCTCAGTGGGTTAAAGCTGAAACCTGCAGCGCTGGCATCCCAGGTGGGCACTGGTTCAAGTCCTGGCTGCTCCACTTCCAATCCAGTTCTCTGCTAATGTGCCTGGGAAAGCAGCAGAGGATGACCCAAGCGATTGGGCCCCTGCTCCCACATAGTAGACCCAGAAGTCTTGGCTGTTGCAGCCAGTTGGGGAGTGAACCAATGGATGGAAGATTCTCTCTCTCTCTCTCTTCTCTCTCTCATCTCTCTCTCTTCTCTCTCCCCTTCTCCATCTCTCCTTCTCTCTCTATGTAACTCTACCTTTCAAATAAATAAATGTCTTTTTAAAAAATATGTTTATTTTTATGCAAAATATTTTAAAATATATGCATAGTTTTTTCATTATGTGCATTTCCCATGAACTTTTTGAAGATCCTTCTCTGTATGCACTTAACATTTTTTTGTAACAAAATACACTTATCTTTAATTTCATTTTCCAGAATTTTTTGAAGTACCCTTCTAGATTCACCCAATGATAGAACAGCCAATTATATAAAACAAACATTGTTTGATCCAAAGAAGAAGATAGACTCCAATACAACAACAGTTGATGACTTTGCTCCACCTCATCAAGAATATCTCCCCACACACACCCAAAATCAACAAAGAACATAAGGGTTAAACTGTACTAAAGACCAAATGCGCCTAAAGACATTTATAGAACAGTTTACACAACAGCTGCAGAGTTTACATTCTTCTCACCAGTGTGTAGAATATTCTCCAGAATAAACCATATGTTAGACCACAAGACGAGCTTCAAAAATTCAAAAAACTGAATTGTATCACATTTGTCCCTGGCCACAATGGAATAAAACCAGTCAGAGACTTTGGAAACTACGTACAAAGAAATGAAGTATGCGCCTGCATTACCAATGAGTCAATGAAGAAAATTCTTAAAATTAGGAAATTTCTTTAAGCAATTAAAATGAAAAACAAGCTTATAAGACAAAGCAAAAGGAACACTAAGAAAACTTATACAGGAAATGGCTTCATTTTATAAAAATCAAATAAACAGCCTAACAATACACTTTAAGAACTAGAAAAGCAAAGCCCCAAATTAATAGAACAAAATATGTAATAAAGATAAAGACAGAATAAATGGAAAAGAGGGATTTGGGGAGTTTAAAAATATTTATTTATTTATTTATCATTTGAAAGGTCAAGTTACAGAGGAAGAGGGAGAGACAAAGAGATCTTCCATCCACTTGTTCACTCCCCAAATGGCAACAATGGTGGGGGCCAGACCAAGCTGAAGCCAGGAACCTGGAACTCCATCCAGGTCTCCTACATGGATGCAGGGGCCCATATACTTGAGCCATCCTCTGCTGCTTTCCCAGGTGCATTAGCAGAGAGCTGGATCAGAAGTGGAGCAGCCAGGACTTGAACCAGGGCCCATATGAGATGCCAATGTCACAGGCAGTGGCTTAACCTGCTATGCTAGAACACTGGCCCCTGAAAAAGAGTTTTTTTTTTTTTTTAAGTATAAAAGATCAACTAAATGAACTATTGCTTTTTTTGAGAAATGAACAAAGTGAACTAACCATTATCCAGGCTAACAACACAAAGAGAGAGAGAAAAAGAGAGAGAGAGAGAGAGAGAGAGACTCAAATAAATAAAAGGGAAAAGGAACTATTACAGCTGATACCACAAAAATATCATCAGGGTTTATTAGGTACTATAATATACAACTTTTTTGCCAACAAATTGGGAAACTTAGAGGAATAGATGAATTTATGGATATATGTCATCTACAAAAATTGAACCATGAAGACATAGGCAAACTGAACAGAGAAATGCAAGCTGTGAGATTGAATCAGTAATAAAAAGCCTCCCAACAAAGAAAAGCCCAGGACCTGGTGACTTCACTGCTGAATTCTATCAAACATTTAATGAACTAATACCATCTTTTCTTAAACCATTCCAAAAAATTGAAAAAGAAAGAACTCTAGCCATCCTGTGAGGCCCAGAATTACTCAGATACCAAAATCAGACAAGAACACAACAACAACAAAAAGAAAACTACAAACTGATACCCTTGATGAACACAGAAGTAAAAATCCCCAACAAAATGCTCACAAACCAAATCCACCAGCACACCAAAAGATTATATACCATGATCAAGCAGAATCTATCTCTGGGATGGTTTAGTATATGCAAATCAATGAATATAACACATTACATCAACAGAATGAAGAACAAATTCCACATGGTTATATTAGTAAATACATTAAAAGCTTTTGATAAAATTCAATATCCCTTCATGATAAAAATCCTCAACAACTAGCTGTAGAAAGAAAATGCTTCAACGCAATGCAGGCTGTATATGGTGAGCTTACAGAAACATTATGCTAGATGGGGCAAAGCTAAAGCATTTTGTCTAAGATCTGGAACAAAACAAGGATATTCATTTTCACTATTCCTATTCAACAGAGTACTGGGAGTCTTAGCAGAGAAATTAGGCAAGAGAAATAAATAAAGGGCATCCAAAATGGAGAGAGTCAAATTATTCCTGTTTGCATACGACATGATTCTATATATAGAAAACCTAACAATCCCCCACACACACAAATACAAAACTTGAGCCATCACAACACCTAACTTCAAAACATCCTACAAATCTATGATAATAAAAACAACATAGTACTGATACACAAAAAGACACGTAGACCAATGAAACAGAATAGAAAACCCAGAAGTTAACCCATGTATTTGCAGCCAACTGATTTTCCACAAAGGTGCCAAGAGCGTGCGTTGGGTACACTGGATACACGTGCACAGAGGAATAAAAGTAGACCTCCTCTTCCTCTCACCATTTACTAAAAGCAATACAAAATGGATCTAAGACCAAAACATTAGTTTCAAACCCATGAAAATACTGGAAGAAAACATGAGGGGACACTTCGAAACATTGGTATAGGCAAAGATTTTTTTTGTTTAAATAAGACTCTAAAAGCACAGGAAGCAAGAGTGAAAGTAGACAAAATTGAATTCTATCAAACTAAGAACTTTCTGAACAGCAGTCAACAGAGAAGAGACAACCTACATAATGGGAGAAAATATCAGTACACTGTTCATCTGACAGAGGGTTAATAGCCAGAATATATAAGGAACTCAACTCAATAGCAAAACACATAATAATAATCTGATTTTAAAATGTGTAAGTGATCTGAATAGACATATCTCAAGAGAAGATAAACGGCTCTCAAATCCTTGAAAAGGTGTTCAACATCACCAACTAGTAGGGAGAAGCAAATCAAAACCAAAATGAAATATCACTTCACCCAAGTTAGACTGGCTAATGTCACAAAGGCCTGGAATAACAAATGCCGGTGAGAATGCTGAGAAAGGGGAACTTATACACACTGTTGGTGACCATGCAAATTAGGACAGCCATTATGGAAAAAAGCATAGAGGCTTTCCAAAGCAACTGGAAGTAGAACCGGCATGTGCTAGAGCAGCCCCACTGCCGTGTACATATCCAAAGGCAATGAGATCATCATATCAGAGAGATGCCTATGTGCCCCTGTTTATTGCAGCATTATTCACAATAACCAAGATGTGGATTCAAACAAGATATCCACTGTTGGACGAATAGATAAAAAGTGAGAAGAAATATTATCCAGACATAACAAAAGATGAAATCCTATCATTTGTAGCAATGCTGATGGAACAAGAATACATTAAGTTCAGTGATATAAGTCAGGGAACAGAAAGACAAATACAACATGTTCCCACTCATTTATGCAAGCTGAAAAAGCTGATCACAGAGAAGCAGAGATTAGAAAAGAGGTCACTAGAGGTTACAGAGGGTAGGGAGTGGGTGAGGGGTGGAAATGGGGTAGATAATGGATACCAAAATATAGTAGAGGATGGTAACTAGTTCTAATGTTCTGCTACTGCAGTAAGAGAGCCATAGTCTACTACAGCAAGCAACTTTATATTAAAAAAAAATTAGAGGCAAATGGCTTGAATGTTGCTAATACATAATGAGAACATTTGAGAAGACAGAAATCCTGATTACCCTGATTTAGTCATTCCACACTGAATATATATCTCAGATTATAACACCGTAGCCCATAAGCAAGTACAAATATTACAGATCAATTGAGAAATACTAAAGTTTTAAATCCTAGGAGAGAGATAGCACTCCTAGTTGAACCCTAGCCTTACGTTCATTTATTTCATCTTTTATTTACATACTTGTTGATTAGGGCAACTTTAGGGTTACAGAAAGTTGAGGAGACAGTCTAGAGAGTTCCCATATACTCCACTGCCCTTACACACTCAGAACCTCCTCCGTTGTCATCAACTCCTAGAGTGGTACAACTCGTGCACCTACCCTGACACATCCAGTGTCTAGTGTCCGCATTTGGGTTCACTCTTGGTGTTGTGTATTTCATGGTTTGGACAAACGCATAAAGCCATGTGTCCCCCATGAGAGTGTCAGACAGAGTAGTCCTCTCCGAACACCCACTGTGATCTCCTCCTTGTCCCTCCCCTTCCCCCCTCCCTCCCACCCCCCGACAACCACTGGCCTTTTCAGTCTCTGCAGTTTGCCTTTTCCAGAATGGCATGTAGTTGGAGTCACACTCATACAACATGGAATCTTTTCAGATTGGTTTTCTTTACCTGATAACATTTACGCTTTCTCTGTGTCTTTCATGGCCTGGTTTTCATTTTAACACTCATGTTAAACACTGCCAACAACTGCCTCCTGGATGGGAACTGGGAAGATCTTGAGTTTGAACTTATCCTAGGTGCTAATGTGGCCCACAGGTGCCCAAATGGGCTGTTAGCAAAGGCAGTGCCGACTATTGTCTCTGCACACCCCACCCAAAACGGTGGTTGTAGAAAATGGGTCCTCTCAGCCTTCTCTGGGTAGATGCTAGGGGAAGCTTCTGGAAGTGAGAGCCCCACTTCCTGTATGTGGCCACAGAGGAGTCCCAGCTCATCTCTGGACTTCTTTCCACTGGATGGTTATGACTTTCTCCTGGATCCCACAGGGAGCTCAGAGAGGCTCACAAAAAGGAGGTCAGTGAACTGGAGAACAACTACAAAGCGTCCTTGAAGGCAGAGAAGGCGGCTGCCCAGGAGAAGATAGGTACGTTAGGCCCTGGGAGGATGGCCCTGGGTGCAGGGGTGAGAGGCAACCTGGTGGATCAAGGGCCTGGAGCACTCATGGCTGTGGCTCTGCTGTGGTCAACCTTCCAAGATGTCATTCTAAAGCTCGGGGGTGGGGTGGGGGAAGAGAGGGAGCGAGATAGAGAGAGAGAGAGAGAAAGAGAGAGAGAGGGAGAGAGAGGGAGGGAGAGAGGGAGAGAGGGAGAGAGAGAGGGAGGGAGGGAGAGAAAGTGAGTAGGAATGAAACTGAAAATAGGGAACATCATGTCTACCAATGTCTTCCCATTTCCCAGATCAGAGCAAGTCTGTTTTTGGGTTTCCCTCCCTGGGAATTGAGGATGAAGATATCTGCCCTAATCCATGTGATTGGAATGTGAAAGCACTTTTAAAAGCATACCCAAAGTTCTACAAGTATAATCTTGTTACGATTCAGCAGATTTGCTCACTTGTAAGATGATAGTGTTTCATTAAATCCTCACTGACAGGCTATGATTGCATGGCCTGCCCATGCTCAGGGTCTGTTGGCCACATGCCTCAGTGTTTGCCGCTGCTCTTGGAAAGGGCAAAGTGTGTGTCCTTCAGAATTCAGTCTAATAGACTAATCTTACAAAGAAGGAGAAATTCTAGAAACATTTTCCTTTATTTTGCCTTAAATTTCTTAATGATGGTATCTTATATTTGCTGATTTTCCCAAGAGAACCTGTATCGTCTTCATAATACGTGTAATCAGAGAAATGTTATGTAAAAAGACAGAAGCAAATGATGATACAAGATTTTGTTTCTCTTTTCCCTGTGGATTTAGGTTTACCCCTGGGGATTTTGTCAAAACTTTGCTAGCACTGTAGTTGAAAAGACCTGGTATTCATCAAAATTCCCCTGAGAAGCATATTAATCAATAAATGCTGTGCCTCTCCCCCCGGGACCCCAATTCAGTAGGCTTAGGGTGACCAAGCAATTGTGTTTCTGCTAAGCTTCCAGGGTGATTTCTGAGCCACCCACAGTTGTCACCGCCTAGGGGAAGAGTTTGGGGTGGGGAAGGGGTACAGGAGAGCCCCCTTTGGGTTTGAAAATATGGATATCAAAGGGATAATAATGACTCTGTGGTTGCTTTTTCTTTGTCCAGAGGAGATGAGAAAGGAGTATAAGTATCTGAAGAATATGTTTCATATGTACCAGGTGAGACTCAGAGCTCTTTGGTGGGTAGGAGCATGAGAGAAGCAAGGCTCATCCTGGCTGATAGCCTTGGGGTGAATCATGAGCTCTTGCCTAGAAAATAATAAACTCACTGGCACTAATGAACCCGGGGAGAACCATGAACTTGGTAACTTCCACGCATGATTATCAGTCCCCCAAACCCTGAAGAGACCTATTGAAAAATATGTTTGTGGTGACAAAAATAATAGCTGCTCATTGTTTAAAAAAAATAGAAACACAAAAACTAACAATAACAACAACAAAAACAAAGAACCGGCACTACCCAAAGGAAACTCCTCAGTCCCAGGCTAACAAGGCCACCCTGTGAAGGGTTCAACATCAGGACCACCTCTGAGATTCTGAAACGCATCGTTTCCAGTTAGAGCATGCACACAAAATTTATTTTTCAAGCTATTCCTTGACACAGTCAGGAAAAATATTGTGGAACCAAGCCTCAGCGGCATCGGGTAGGTAAGCAGCCCACTCTGTGCCTGCCTCCATCCAGGCCTCTCCAGGGAATTTGGCCTCTGTGGCCACCGAGCCACCCACCAGTTGTGAAAATGCTGGGAGAACCCCGACCTAAAAGACCACAAGCAATCCAAATAAGTGCTGATGCCCAAGTGAGTCCTGCTAACCTGAGCGGGAAGGTGGTCAGGGTCCTTGGGCTCCACCAGCGGCGTCCAGGGCCTTCCCCTTCCGGGGCCCCTTGCTCATGAAGTCTTAGCCGACCAACAGGGCTGGCATTGAATTAGGCTTATTTAACCTCAACCATAAAAGGAAGTTAGAATTGCTGAGCAAAAAGAAAAAAAAAAAAAAGAGCGGGGGGTGCACAGTTTCTAGAAAACTCTACCGTTTTCTTAGTGTAAATCTGTCTATCAGTTATTCCCCTGCTTTCTTCATGTGCTACTCTGGAGGGTCGTGAGTCAGCAGGAGCTGACACGTGACTCTTCAGCGTGGAGATTGCTACCTGTCTTCCAAGGAAGGCCAGTTCCACTGGGGAAAACACTGGAACATAGTTTGCCCTTGACCTTTAGGGTCTAACAGTAGCTCTACTGGGCTAGGCTGAGAATTATTTCCCATCAGTGAACCAGAGGGGAGCCCCTCAAGGGAAGGAAGCTGCACGGGGCATGGGGCGTGGCCAGAAAGGGGCTCCCTGGGGTGGACCTGCAGCTCCTCCAGGTCTCCTTCTCAGGGAGTCTTCTCCCGGGCGCCCTTGTGCCTCCACAGGACAGCATTTATGATGAAATGGAAGACAAGTGGTCAAAGCGGAAGGCAGAATGGGAGAAGGACGAGAAGATAGAGCGGGAGAAGATCCTGCTACAGCAAAGTGAGTACAGAAGCTTCTGGCTTTTCCATGACAACTGCATCCATCAGGCTCGGTCTTGACTTGAGGAAGGCAGCCTTCCAGGTGCCAAGGGCAGTGCTGGACTCCCACACAGAAGGATCCTGGAGTGTCCCAGAAAGCCAAGTGACCAGGACGGGGTCTTTTTGAAGTTCAGGCATCTGTACATTCTAAAAAACTCACTGGGTTCCAAGCTTGTCCATCAGGGGCTGGAACAAGTGTTGGGACTGGACACAGGTGACCCCCCAAAATTCCAGATGTTCTTGAACTAAATTTGAAATATTCATTTATTGGGTTGGGGGGAGGTGTCACTCACTCCAATATACTAAAAGGCTCTATACCTCCCAGAGGGAGCCATGTTTAGTGTTTCCAGACCTCACACACTGCGGGATCATACAAAGGGCTCTACAGGTGCCCCTTGCACCCTGCCCCCACCCCCAGCTCCTTCAGGGATAGCAGACAAGAAGAAGAATCTGTGGAGGCTGCTCCGGGCCTGGAGGACTAGCTGAGACAGGATGGGGGCCTTACAAACCTGTTCCACATCATACACCCACCCCATTCATCTCGTAGTTGGTTTTTAGCAAATTACTCATTTAACGTGGCTCCCCCTGGGAAAGTGAATTCCCATTCTGTGGGAGACTCTGGATGGCCAGAGGTGGCATGGAGACCCTGGAGTTGAGGCTGGGGATGGGATGAGGAGCTGCTTCCGGCTGAGGTTTTCCCTAGGACCCTGGTGCAACACAACCTCGGTCATCTCCCAGGCTTCTAGCTACACATGACTCACGTGTTCCGTGTGGCCCAAGTCCAAGGTGGAACTACCAGTTTCTAGAGACCAGACTTGAGCTGCCCATCATGCAGCCCAGCCAGGACTTTCTCTGCCAGCCCAGACTTTCCCTGTCGGCCCTCGGAACGGTGACACTGCAGGACTTGGGTTTCCTCCTCCTGCGTGGTGGCAGGGCTCTGCACACAGGTTTCTCTGCCCGTGTGAGCGTCCCTCTACCCCACAGCTAAGTACACCAGGAATGTTACCGCTGGCCAAGCCGTGTGAGCAAGGGCCTTTAAGATAAGGACAGCCAGGAGAGCAGAAAGCTTACTACAGCAGAGGGGTAGACAAAATAACAAGCAACAGAGCCAAAAGAAACCACACACAAGAGAACCAGGGACGTTGGAGGTAAATCGCAGCGTGGCTAACGTGACTGGGAACAATCGCCTGGCTCACCCCTCCACCCCCCCACCCCCCCCCCTCACCCCGCTCAAGCATCAGCAGGTGAGTGTCAGAGGCCAAACACCAGGCAGAGAGGCCCTTGACTTTGACCCAGTCTGGAAGAGCCTTTGCCTTCAGATATTCTGATTTCCTCTGCACCTGCGTTCCCCTGTGCTTAGGCATATAAGTGCTCTCCTCTCTCCTCCACAGAACACAAGATGACGAAGAAGTTTGAATTAGAGTCAGAAGAAGAGAAGAAGAAGATAAGCGAAACCTATGTTGCTCTCTTTGAGAATTTCACGCGAGAGAAGGAGGTGAGCCAGCCCCACGTGCGCCAGTGTTTGACACCGTGGTGGCACCACGAATTCCCGTGTGCCTCTGTAATGAGCTGATCTTGTCTTTATGGACATAACTCCTTCCCTCCCTGCATTCCTGGGTCTCTGCAAGCAGACTGGCAGTCTTGCTGGACTTTAGCTACACAGCCTGACCACAGGGCTATTGAAATGAAAATTACAATTAACAGGAAATAACAGAACACTAAGCATGCAGAACCTGAAGTTCTCTATTTTGCCAAAATCCTGTTTCTGAATGTCCTCCTCCTTGACTGCAGCTAACGAGAGCGGGCATTATTGCAGGCTAACCGAAGCACATTTGGCTGTGCACTCTTAGCAATCAGAGTAGCTACCGAAGCGCTGGAGGAAGTGAGGGTTAGCTCCTTGCTAGGCCCTTCCCACAACCGACTGCTGAAATCGAGTTAAAAAGAAAGCTGGTCTCAGACCCAGTGCTACCAAACAGGATGTTAACTAAGCAAATATACATTAGCAAGCAGGGCCCATGCAGTTCATTCAACCAGATCTCTGATATTTTAGTGCATGAGATTGACTGGAGTGGATGAGAGTGCTACAGAGGCAGAACTCCACGATGATGTAGCCAGCATCAGGCAACCAGAGCACCTCCTTAGCAGGACCCAAGACCATGCCAGGATCACGTCTTAACCACTGCCTTTTTAGGCAACAGGCTTTTTTTTTTATATTCTTTAATCTTTTTATGCAAAAGGGAGCATGTCTCTACAATATTTCAGCTGTCTTCAATATTCCATTTGTAAGTGTCTATTTCTAACCTTCATGCTAATTTAAAAGGGGGAGGGGGAGGGCGTGTAGCCTGGCAGTTAAAGTTGCCCCTGTGCCAGTCTAGCAGAGTGCCTGGGTTGGATTCCAAGCTCCAGCCCTTGACTTCAGGTTCTTGCCAATGCAGTCCCTGGGTGCCAGTGGTGATGGCTCCAGTCACGGGGCTCCTGACACCCATATGGGAGACCTGGCTTGAGTCCCCCAGTCCTGGTTTCAGTTCCATCTCAGTCCTGGTCATTGTAGGCATTGAGGAAGTGAACTCCCATTTACAACCTCCATCTAGAGTGTTTCTCTCTCTCTCTCTCTCTCTCTCTCTCTCTCTCTGTGCCCCCCACACCTCTCCACCCCAGAGCTCTGAAATAAGTAAATAGTTTTTAAAGGGTCACTAATTCCATGAATAAAAGCCCATGTGTGGTGTTCAGTCTATTTACTGAGCAAAACACAACTGAGGAGATGCAGCCTGGCCTGCAGTGTGCAGAACTTCTGGGGTCTGGAAGACTCAGATGCCTGAGCAAAAGGAAGCGACTCCTGTCCTGGGGAGGAGCTGGATCTCCATGCACTCCTCCCCGCCCCTCTCCTGTTGTCTCCCCAGTGATTCTGACCCCCCATACTGAGTTATAATTTATACTTAGCTTCTTAGGAAAAAATTACAGATCACACGTGTGCAGTTTGTTGAGTTTTGACAAATGTGCACACTTATGTAACCCACATTCAACCCCAGATCTAAAGCATCTCATCAACCCTGAAAATATTCCTGTGGTGTTTCTTCCCCTCGACGCCCCACCCCACCAGGTATGCTCCAAGACAACTCTTCTTTTGAGTTCTTCCATCATAGGTTAAGTTTGCGGTTTTTAAACTTCACATACACATAACATATAGCATATGCTCTTGTGTGTATAGCTTCTTTTCCCTCAGTGAAATGGCTATGCAATTTACCCAGCTGTTAATCATATCAGTAATTTCTTCTTTTTGATTGCTCAGTAACATTCCTTTGGAAGAATATTCCACAATGTATTTACTGTTTTTCCATTGTTGGGTATCTGGGTTGTTTCGATTTTTTTTTTAATCTTACCAAAAAAAAAAAAAAAGCTGCTATAAACACCATTGTACAGGTATTGCAGACTGATGCTCTTACTCTCTTGGGTATACACTTTGCCCTAGGGTAGGTATCGTTTCAACCTTTTAGGAAATTGCCAAATTATTTTCCAAAGTCATTCCACCACTCTACTCTTGCATCTTAAATATATGAGCATTCTGGTTGCTTCACAGTAAGTTTGCACACTCCAGTGCGTATGAAATGGTCTAGCATCATGGTTTTACTTTCCCTGATGACTAATGATGCTGGGCAACTTTGCATATGCTTGATGGACCAAAATGTATCTTCACTTGTGAAATGTCTGTTCCAGCTTTTGCCACTTGGAGTAGTTGGGGTAATATTTTATTTTTGGAAAGACAAATAGTCAGAGAGATATATCTCCCATCTTCTGGTTCACTCCCCAAATGCTCACAACAGTCAAGGTTGAGCCAGGTCAAAGCCACAGGAACTCAATCTAGGTCTTTAACTTGGGAACCAGGGACTCAAGTCTTTGAGCCATCATCCCCTGCTGCCTTCCAGGGTGTGCATTAACAGGAAATTAGAACCAGGGACAAAGCTGGGACTCAAACCCAGGCACTCTGATAGGGGTGTGGGTGTCTCAGTGTTTTCAGTATTGGTATGGGTGAGCATTTCATTCATTGTGGATATCTGTGTTGCAAATATTGTCCTCCAGCCTGTAGTTTGCATTTTTATTAATGATGTCTTTTTATGTGCTGAAGCTTGTTTTTTTTTTTTTTTTTTTTTTTTTGGTTAAAAAATTTATTTATTTATTTATTTATTCAAAAGGCAGAGTTACAAAGAGGGCTGGAACAAGCCAAAGCCAGGAGCCAGGAACTCCATACAAGTCACCCACTTGTGTGCAGGGGCCCAAGGGCTTGGGCAATCTTCTGCTGCTTTGCCAGGCACATTAGCAGGGAGCTGGACTGGAAGTGGAGTAGCCAGAACTCAGACTGAAACTCATATGGGATGCTGGCTTGCAGGCGTTTGTTTAACCTGCTGTGCCACAACACAAATTTTGAATTTTGTCCTTCATAGTCACAGTTTTTCATGTCTTCTCTATACAATATTTACCTATTCCAAGGTCATGCGGATATTTTATTTTTACATACTTTGTATTTTTTATGATTTTATGGTCCATTTTGAATAATTTCTGTATATGAAGTGAGGTGGAGGTCATGGATCATTTTTTTCCACATGGGATCCAGTTATTCCAGAACCATATTTTGGAAGAGAGTTTCCCTGCCCCACTGAGTTGCCTTGGTGTCTTTGTTGTCACTGGTGGTTTAGTGGGGAGTGGGATAGGAGGCAGGGAGTCAGATCCCATTCCGTTCCCTTCCACTGTCTGTCTATACTTAGGTACCATAGCTTGAAGTCAAGCAATAAAGATAGTCTAACTTTGCTATTGTTTTTCAGGACTATTTCAGATTTTCTCCATCCTTTGCATTTTCATAGAAGTTTTAGAAGTAGCTTGTCGAGACGGCCTGCTGGTATTCTGGCTGGAATTGCACAGAATTTTAAAAAAAGCAATCTAGAGCGCTGAATTCCTAACAGCATTGAATCTGTGCATTGACTTAAGAAAACTTTTTGAAGAAAGCATATTTTTTTTCAGTGTTTGTCAATGTGATGATTGCACATAAGTGATACTTTCATTAACTTCAACATGGCGTGCCGTTCACTTGTAATGTGTGTTTTCTTATACCAGTGTCTAGGTTTTGTGAGTACTAGAACCCCAGGTCCTGTCCCGGCTTTCTTACATCTTTCCAGAAGTGACCTTGTCCAAATGAAATTGTTTACAGGAGCTCTTGAAACAGCATGAAAGTGACACCGTGCAGTTAGAGGAACTGAGGAAGACCAAAGAGGTGAGCCTTTTCATTCCTTCCTGTGGAACTGGCTTCTTAGAAACCCATCAGTGAAATGATAGGCTCTTGGTAAAACAGAATCGACTATCATTTTCACAAAGTCAGCAAAGTGGAAGAGTTTCGTGGATTCAATAAATAAAATAGGGATTTCAGGACTGTCCATAAAACAAAACCTGTGGTGTCTTTTCAGAGTCAGATTGGAGCCGACATTTCAGCAGTGTACTGTGCGTTGTTCAATGTTGAAGACCTGTATTTCTTGCAAGGCTCAAACAACCATAAAAAGACCTTGAATTACAAAATGTCAAATCTTACCCCCCCCCTTTTTTTTAAGTCTGTCTCTCCTGCTTCTTCCCATTTCAGCTTCCTTAAAATTTTTTTTTTATTTATTTGATAGAGTGGGGGGGGGGCACTCCCATCCATTGATTCACTCCTCAAATCCTACAACAGCAGGGCTTGACTAGGCCAGGAACTCCATCCAGGTCTCCCCCATGGTGGCAGGAATCCAGGTACTTGGGCCATCATCTACTGCCTCCCAGGCTGCAATAGCAGGAAGCTGGATCAGAAGTGGAGCAGCACAGCCCTGTGAATGGGATGCAGGATGCAGGTGCTGGGAGTGGCAGCTTCACCCACTGGCCACGACACGCCCCCTGAGCTCTTCCCCTTGAGCTCTGAAAAGTAGCAAACTGCCCTCTAGAACGTTGTCACCGAGTCCCTTTAAAACTCTGAGTGTTCCTCACACAGGGCCACTTCCACAAAGGGACGGTACTCTGCTGGGTTAAATGAAGGCGTTGTGGGAGACAGCCGAAGAGGAGTTGTTCAGACCGCAGAGTATCTTACGTTTCTCCCACACAGTGGGCACGCGTGGGAGAAGTTCAGTCATCAGGAAGGCGTTATAAAGGAGTGGTCCTCTGGGACCAGGCAGGGCTTCTGCATCCCCAGGGTGCACGCAGCCCACGATGTTCTACAGGGTAAAGGAATTGGCTTTGGAGCCAGGTAGACCTAGTGTACCATAATAACTTTTGATGACTTGTCTACTGGTTCTACCACTTGTGTCATTTCTGGGTCTGTTCTGATTAACTGGTGTTCCTCCTTGTTTATGACTGCATTTTCTTGTTCGCATACCTGGTGATCTTTTATTGGATGCCTTTATTCTTTATCGGTATCCTTTACATATTCTTGAGCTTTGTTCTGGGCTGCACCTAAAAGTTTGATTGTCTCAACCTTGCTGTTAAGGTGTTCTGTAGAGCTCATTTTTCCCCATTACTGAAGGATACCTTTCTTTGCTCTTTGCTGATGGTTCCTTCTCCCTGAGCTCATCTCCCATTTCTTCCCATCCTCGCCCTGCCTCAGAGTCGCTGACCTCCTTGAAGGCCAGGCTGCTCCTGCCTGGGCTCTTTGCTGTTAATATTCTTTCTTCCCAGAAAGCTTTCCTGGATATGCGCAGTTCCTGGAACAGTGCCTGGCAGATCACAGGCGCTCAATAAGTAGTCAGTGAACTTTGGAATTGATATGCAAATGAGAGAATGCAAAAGGGCCTGGTACAGCACTTTGCACAATGCAATTGCAGTAGGTGATGGTACCTCTCCAGTTTACGCATCTTGGCAGGATGCTCCTTGTGTGGGAAGAGCTTGAGAGCACCGCACGGGGAGGAGTTTAACGGGGTTGACACTTGGAAGCAGAGACCCACCTGGCTCATTTTTTTGACCCTTTCAGCACCTATTAGAAATGCATATGGCACCTACTAGGTGCTGATTGTGGGGTGCTACAAACATGATAAATATGGAGAAGCAGACATGTGTGTGACATGGCAAAGAGCTATTCTTCCTGTTGGGGTGGGGTAGTAGCAGCCCAGGAAGTGTTACAGGGTGGCAGTTGGGCTGGCTTTGACAGCTGAGGAGTGTCTCTGAATCTCACACAGAGGTAGGGCAGAGATGGTGCTCCCACCTTGAGGCGAACATGAGCAAAGCTGGTGACAAATGAAAGGACCTGGCATGCCAGGAGCAGCAAGGCGGACTGGGAGAGGGCCAGTGGCCGCGGGGCTCTGGTTCGAACTTGAATCTCACACTCAGCTGGTAGCACAGGCCACCCTTTGGGTTGGCGCCACTCAGGAGGCTACAGGGCTGGAAGCACAGCCTGCCGGGTGGGAGGGGAGCCTCGGGGTTCCTCCTCCGAGGGGGCCTCAGAACAGCGCTCACAGTAGTCCAGGGTGAGTCCAACGGGGCCCACAAGGAAGAAGTCAGGGGAGGGAAAATGGGAGCCACACATGTGGGTGCAGGAGCTACATGTATGGGTGCAGGAGCTATTCTGGCTTAGAAGCCGCTTGTCCCACAACTTTCTTTTCTTTTTCTTCTTCCTTTTTTTTTTTTTTTTTTTTTTTTTTTTTTTTGGCAGGCAGAGTGGATAGTGAGAGAGAGAGAGAGAGAGGTCTTCCTTTGCCGTTGGTTCACCCTCCAATGGCCGCTGAGGCCGGTGCACAGTGCTGATCGAAGCCAGGAGCCAGGTGCTTCTCCTGGTCTCCCATGGGGTGCAGGGCCCAAGCACTTGGGCCATCCTCCACTGCACTCCCTGGCCATAGCAGAGAGCTGGCCTGGAAGAGGGGCAACCGGGACAGAATCTGGCGCCCCGACCGGGACTAGAACCCGGTGTGCCGGCGCCGCAGGCGGAGGATTACCAAGTGAGCCGCGGCGCCGGCCCCCACAACTCTCTATAATGGATCCATGCACGCAACTCCCAGGTCATGCGCAGTGATGCCAGCCGCTGCCCCAGGCGAGCCAAGGCTGTGCTTGCTGCCAGGCCTTTGTTTCTTCTCAGTCTGGTGCAGCCTGGGCTCACTTGCCTCTGCTGAACCTTTCCTAGTCACACGCCCGGTATCCCACCTTCCTCATAGCTTTCTCGGAAAACAGGACAGAACAGGAACCCAACATCCTGGTTTCCCCTAGCAAAGGACAAAGAGGCCTTTATTTGTTTAACCTTGGGCTCAGGGGACCGTCTGGGGTCCATTCATTGTCACAAGAAGTCTGGATCTGACTGATTCTGCAGACAGTGGAGCCATGGGAAGTTTTTGAGGAGAAAAGGATTCATTTGGTGAAGGACGTGGCAGCGATGTGAGGCAGGGTGCCTTGTGGAGGGCAGGATGTTTTAGAAAGGTCGCCTCCTGGGGCCGGCGCAGGTAAAGCCGCCGCCTGCAGTGCCAGCATCCCATGTGGTTCGAGTCCCGGCTGCTCCACTTCTGATCCAGCTCTCTGCTATGGCCTGGGAAAGCAGTGGAAGATGGCCCACGTCCTTGGGCCCCTGCATCCTCTGGGAGACCTGGAAGAAGCTCCTAGCTCCTGGGTTTGGATCGGCACAGCTCTGGCCGTTGAGGTCATCTGGGGAGTGAACCTGTGGATGGAAGACCTTTCTTTCTCTTTCTGCCTCTGCCTCTCTCTGTAACTCTGCCTTTCAAAAAAAAAGGTCACCTTCCATCTACACCTCAACCTGACCTCTGCTCCCACCACATCCTCTGAAACTGCCCAAATCACCAGTAACTTCCAAGTTGCAAAGGCCCGGGACTGCCTCACCTTGCCTGGTGTTAGCAGGGGCAGGGCAGTTGAGCCCTCCTGCCTTGAAGCATTTCCGCCCTTGGGCTTCCACTGGCTTCTGGTGCCTCCTTGGCCTCACTGGTCATTCCTTTGCCGTCTCCCCGGCGAGGTCCCCCTCTTCCAGCTCATTTTTAAGCCCTGGGCTGTTTCGGAGCTTGGTTCTGGACTGGGTTTCTCTCCTTCACCTCCACTTTCTCACTAGGTCAGTTCCTCAGGCACAGAGACATAAATGCTGACAACTAGGCCTGCGACCTCCAGCCTGGCCTTGCCTCTGAGCTCCAGGCTTGCGTGTGCAACTGCCCATTTGCACTGCTGCATAGGTGGCCTGCAGACACCTCCCACGCAACACTGCCAACTCCATGCTCTTGATGCTCCACCTGGCACTTGACTCCCTAAATTGTCAACTCCTGCAGTTATTCAAACCTGGACCAGAGGTCGTCATGGATTCCTTCTTTCCTATCGCTGCCCCATATCTGCCAATCCCCTGTAACATGTCCCAGATTCACCCACTTGTCTCTGACTCTGTGCACCTGACCCTCATCCACCCACTACTTCCTGCCCAAACCACTGGCACACTCCCCTCCTAGTCCCTTGCTCTCCTCCTGTCCCCGCCCTCACATCCACTCTCCCCAACACAACTGTGAGATAAATGTAACCGGTGAGACAAATCCAAACCCTGCTCCATTCAAAGGTCCCCATGCTGTCTGGGACTGTGGCCTCCCAGATGTGCCAAGCTCCGCTCTACCTCCTCACCTTGGCCCAGGACATTGCTTCTCTATTCCAGCCACACTGCTGTTCCTTCGGGTTTCCACACACACTAGGAATTTGCCTTCGAAGGACCTTTGCACAGGTTTCTGTTCATTATTAAGTAGCAGTTCATGTGTTTGTTGAATGAATAGACGGTTTTTAGAGCAGTTTTTTTGAAATTGTTAAACCTTTTTATTTCAGGCAGAGAAACACAGATAGACAGACAGACAGAACTCCCATCCACTGGTTCACTCCCCAAATGCTCTGTCCAGGTCTGAGCCAGGAACTCAATCCAGGTCTCCCCTGTGGGTGGCAGGAACCAAATTACTTGAGTGGTCACCTGTGCCTCCTTGGGTCTGCATTAGCAGGAAGCTGGAGTCAGGAGCTGAAACTCAAACCAGGCTGTCCAATGAGGGACACAGGTGTCTCAGCTGCTAAGATAAATGCCTAGAGCAGTTTAAGGTTTACAGGAAAATTGAGAAGAAAATGCAGAGTTCCCATGGGTACTCTCACCCCACGCCACTCCCAGACTCCCCTATTGCTAACATCTTGCAGCAGGATAATACATTAGTTATGATCCAATAGCCAGCATGGATTCATTATTACTACTTAAATCCATAGTTTACAGTGGGGCTCTGTGTTTGTATTATACGTTGTATGGGTTTTGCCTGTTAAGTCCTGTCATATCTCCACTATTATAACATCTTACAAAAGAGTCTCGTTGCCCTAAAAAATGCCTTCTGCCCCATCTATTTAACCCTTTTCCACCCTTAAAGAGGTTAGCAGATCTATAGTTTTGCCTTTTCTAGAGTCGCATGGAGCTGGAATCCATGGTAATTTTTTAAACGATTTTATTTATTTATTTGAGAGGCAGAGCTATGGACAGTGAGAGGGAGAGACAGAGAGAAAGATCTTCCTTCCATTGGTTCACTCCCCAAATGGCCACAACAGCTGGAGCTGTGCCGATCTGAAGCCAGGAGCCAGGAGCGTCTTCCTCATCTCTCATGTGGGTGCAGGCAGGGCCCACGGACTTGGGCCATTTTCTACTGCTTTCCCAGGCCACAGCAGAGAGCTGGACTGGGAGAGGAGCAGCCAGGACTCGAATCGGCGCCCATATGGGATGCTGGTATCTCAGGTGGTGGATTAACCTACTGTGCCTTCGGTGTGGGTCCCCATGGTAATTACTTGATAAAGACTTGTTTAATGAATGAATGGTTGCTGGCATTTCAAAGGTCCGTGGGAGCTCTGGTGAGGGTGGGCTCCGCAGCAGTGAGAGTGAGGCCAAAGGGGAGGGCATAGACAGATGAGACGGTGTTGAGGTGGAGTTGACAGTGTGTGCGGCCAAGTGGCTCTCAGTGGTGCGGGACAAGGAGAACCCACGGTTGCTGCTTTGCAGTCTCCGGGTGCCCTGGAGGAGAGAATGGACAGGTGGACACTGGCATGGTGCCCATCCTGACGCAATGTCTTCTCACACAGATCGTGGAGGAAGAGTTGCATGCACAAACTCTTGTTCTAGAGTCACTGAACATGAACCTCTGCAACACCCAGATGGAACTCCAGAAAGAGGTGGGTGCTAGCCGGGGTGGGGCTGGGGGCAGCGGGGAGACGGGGTTAAAATGTATGCATCTTTCAGAAAGCGGCCATGGGTCACCTGGAGAAAACGCTCCAGACCAAGCTTGCTGAAGCCGATGAGAAGTATAAGTACACCATACAGATGCTGACCGAGGAGAACCTTCATCTGAGGTGGGCGGGGCCTGGCTTGCCTTTAGGAGTGGGAGGGAGTTTGAGTGAGGGTCAGGTTAAGCTGATGAGTTTTTGGGAGCCAGGGGCATCACTCTGGGGCAGGTGCACAGTCACCTACAAAGGTCGGTTTCTGTGAGGTGGAGCTGGGATGTGTAGAGACTTCTCTGCCTCGTCTCTGTCTCTGTTTTTAATGCAAAATGACCCAGGAAATTTATCTGCATGCTTCTGAGTTGTTCAGCTCTGTGACTGTGGGCTGCTTTTCAGTCCGTCTCTCCTGAGAACTGAGAACTTGATTTCAGTATTAGTGGTTTAGTCCTAGATACAGTTGTTTCTGGTGCCCATGGAAATCAATTTTATTATTTAGTAAATTAAAGTTTTTGTTGCACTGATTTAATAGAAAAGTCCTTATATGGGAATTTGATCATCCAAATATCATCTCTCACTAAATTAAAAATTTCTCAGGCTGGCATTGCGGTGTAGAGGGCTAGGCCACCGTCTGCGATGCCAGCATCCCCTACAGGCACCAGCCCTTGTCCCGGCTGCTCCACTTCCAATCCAGTTCCCTGCCAATGTGCCTGGGAAGGCAGCAGAGAGCGGCCTGAGTGCTTGGCCCCTGCCACTTCTATTGTAGACCCAGATGCAGTTCCTGGCTTCAGCCTGGCCCACCCCGGGCTATTGCAGCCATTAGGGGAGTGAATCAGTGGGTGGAAGATCTCTTTCTCTCTGTGTCTGTAACTCTGCCTTTCAAAGAAATAATCTTTTTTAAAAAAAAAAAAATCTCTGCAAGTAATGAGCAAATACCTTATATGTCTTTCTATCCTTAGTCTATAACAATATATATTCCCTTTCTTTTGCAGGCAAAAGATAATTGCCAAGAATGAAGAAATCTATAAAGGACGATCGGGAAAATCAATGGGTAGCACCTCTTTTGAGGATGACTTGAACACTTTGGAAGATGATGACAACAGAAGATGAGAATCAGTAACAAAAAGCTGTTCTCCCTGGCTGACGCAGCAGGAGGGCCATCCCTGAAGCCACTGACAGCGGCAGGAAAACCATCCCCCATAGGCCTGGCGCACTCCTGTGAGGTTGTTTGAGAAATGCATAGAAGTTTAGTTCTTGGGTTGCTCTGACTCCATTTTTGTCTTTTCATAATTTGCTTTCTTCTGAGCAGGTGGGAATGTCTGAAGTGCAAGTGTACAACCCTTGATTGAAAACCCTATCCTAGACACCTGCAGCTGAGCTTTCTCTGGGTTTTGTACAATGTGCTCTTGCACCTTTACATAGTTTATGAGAAAGAGACAGATTCAAAGGCCTTCTTCCTGTACCCTGGCCTGTGACTTTTGAATGTAAGATGTTCCCTGAAGACTTAATCATTCTTGCCACCTTCTCTAAACCACCGTGAGAATTCAAACAGGGCAAGCAACATGAAAGGAGTGGCCTGGGCATGAGGAAACACAATCCCATGTGCACCATGACTGGTGGCGTGGACAGCAGCCTCAGTGGAGGATCCTGGGAGGGGTGTGTGTGGAGGGAGGGGCATGGTGTGAAGCAGAGTGCATGTCCAGTGTGAAGAAGGGGCTTCTCAGGCCCACGCAGCCCCTACCACACAGGAACATGGGCTCAGACATTCTGATTTTTCAAAAGAAGTATTTTGCTTTTTACGTGCTAGCTCCACTTTTTAAATGTGGGCAACAAACTTTAAAAATACGATGGTGTGAGCCAACGTTGAGAAACTCAGGTAGAAGAGGCCTGTGATCCAAATGTCTTCTACCAGTGAGATGCCATTGGAAAAAAGCAAAGCACTGAAACAAAACGAACAGAACCATTCCAAGGAACAGATAAAATGATATTTTATTAATTAACATTTTTTCAAGAAAAAAAATGTCCTTTTAAAAGAACCATTTAGCTTTTAAAGATAAACTTAATTTCTAGCAATTTGGAATAAACTTAATACAGAAAGAAAGAGCAAATACAAACACATAAAGAGGGCACAGCATCATAAGCAAAACAGCAAGTTATGTGAGTGGTTATAGGAGCTTGCACAAAAGCAGTCAGTGACAGGAGAGGTCAAAAAGGGAGTTCAGGGGGTAGGTAATAAAAAACTTATGGCATTTCTTGATTTTTTAAAAGGCTTTGACACTAAGAATATTTTAAAATTTACACATTTTTAAATTTCTTTAGTGTAGAAAAGACAGCTGGAAAGAGACACACTTACAATTACATTCATTTCACCTTCAGTTTAAAGTAATACTGTAATTATACATGTTTAATAACAATGTGCAAATCATTTTATTAGCTTAATAACTAATAAATAAATCCTAGTGTTACATATGTAAAAATAGGATCAATCCAGAGGGAAGAGGAGTCTCTTTGTTAGTGTGAAAGTAGGCTGTGGCATCTGCTTCTTTTTTTCCCCAGCTTCCTTAATGCTCACTTTATAGTTCACTTTGGTCAGGATGGAGAGGATATCTTCGCCTCTGAAAAACACAGCATAGCATTGTGACTCTCCATGGGGGACAGACAACTGCTGAACCATCTCCTTTGCTGTGCCCAGTGATAACTCTACGGCTCTTCCTCTCAGAACATCAGGCCTTTGAAACAGTAAGTTGCTGAGCCAAGGCTGCCCACAGTGTTCCAGGGAGATGAGCTGGCTCCAAGCTTTGTACCTTAGCCTTGGTTTACTCAGGATCCCCATTAGCCAACAGAAACCTCAGTGTCATGAGATTTGGTTACTTGGTTTCTCTTCCTGACCTGTGTGTATCTCGCTCTGCTCCACCTACTATGTCATTTGACATGCTCAGTCCACTCCAGTACCCCACCCCCACCACCCTCTGCCTCTAATTGGCATTGCTTCTGTGGATTCATCTGCAATGTGACCAGACTTCAGGAAACCCAAAGTCCACACATGTCCTGCAGCCACTCTTAGTAACTGTTGGGCAACCTCTTCCTCTGTCTCTGTAGCTAGCCCCTAAACCTTGCAGGATTCCTGATCTGAATTACAAAATGGAAAGATCACAGTGATGTCATTGGCTCGCTCTTCATGTGCCATGAAAAATCTTATTCTTCATACAGACAGTCAAAACGCAGTGAGATACAAGGCTAGAAGGAGCCTGCAAAAGATTCCTTGCTGTTCATCTGTCTGCTGGGTGTGTGTTCCAATGAACTATGATATAATGCACTATAATTTAACTAAAGGAAGCACGTGATATAATAGATTGGAGAAGATTATTTTCCCACGCTTGTGGCTTCAAAGCAGACCAAGATAGTGGAAATATAAGGGGTTCCTAATCTTCACTACTTATCTCCCACAGTGCACCCAGAGGGTTTGAAGCTGGTTAGCTATTACAGGACTTCCAACAGAGGTTGTTAAACATTAAAGTGCGGGCAGCCTTCTCCACAGACCTGCAGGCCAGTTCAGTTGGCTCCATAGTGTTTCTGCCTAAAGAAAGAGAACTGGACTGTAGAGCTGCACCATGTTTTCCAGCCCCGTGATCCCCTGATTGTCCCTTTGAAGTGTTGGTTTTAAGAAAACCCCTCAATGAGTACCCCCGTATCTCCATCCGTGGTAAAGATGCTAACACTTGCCTTTTCTCCCACGGCTAGACATTTGCAGATGAATGGGAGTCACCTCCCTTGGCTACTTCTCTGATCTGTTAATATTACCTCAACCACAAAGCACGTTCTAGTGGACTCTAAATATGGATCTCTAATCGCAGAGATGGGGGATGAGGCAGGTGGTAGAACTTCGAGGAGGCTTAGGTAGGCAAAACTTACTGAGGACATCTTTCTCTTAGGCTCTGGCAAAGTGACTGGATGTACCAGGTCCCCTCAAAGAGGTTTCGATAGGAGACACAGTTGTTCACAGTGGCCATCCCCAGCAGGAAGTCAGCCTCATCGGGGACGTATCTCTTTGGAAACGATGAGTCCATTTCTAAATAGGTTTCTTGCTGCTCTGAGTCTATCGCAACAGGAACGGCTTGCTGGTACTTATCCCCTTGACAAGCTTGAATGAAAAAGACTTTGGGTTTTCCAGCAAGAGAGGGGCACTTCGAACCAGTGAAATAAGAGGTCAGATCATAGATGCAGGCCTCCTGCCCATCAGTGCCATAGATGATGCCCTTGTCTCCATGGGACAGGATGCAGCAGACGAAGCAGTCTCTGTCTTTGTGGTCCATGCTTTGGTAGCTTTGCAGAATGTCACAGATCTGCTTTGCCGTGCAGTCATTGTAATGGACTACTTCAAAGTGAAGGTCAGTGAAGGTATTGCTCAAAGCCTCTGAAAAGTCAAGTCAGAGAAGTTACACTGTAGCACAGTCATTCCCACACTACAGCCCACAGCTGGAGAGAACAGTGAGTTCGATGTTAATGATAATTTGAATCAGAACTGAAAGAACAGGACCTCCTATCTCAGTAGCTGGATTCTATAGGCAGCTGAAAACATTTCCAAGCCTTGAAGCAAATGGTAAAGGGGAGAGTGCTATTGTTGGTCCGTTGTCTTTTCTGAACTACTTTATGAGATGAGTGAACTATTATTAAGGCTTACTACCAAGCCAAATTAAAGTGTGGCTGTGTTATATAGTCAGAAAAAAAAAAAAGTAATTTTTAAGACTTATTTATTTTAAAAGCAGAATTACAGAGAAGGAGAGAGACAGAAAGGAGGGAGAGAGGGGGAGAGGGAGGGAGACAGAGAATATTTCCTCCCCTGGTTCACTCCCCAAATGACCTCAATGGCCAGGACTGGGCCAGGCCAAAGCCAGGCACCTGGAACTCTGGATCTCCCACATGGGGCCCCAGCACTACAGCCCATCCTCTGCTGCTTCCCAGGTGCATTGGCAATGAGCTGGATTACAAGAAGAGCAGCTGGGATGCAAACCAATGCTCATATGAGCTGCTGGTATTACAGGGTGCACTGGGCCACAGTGCCATCCCTAAAAGCAGTCATTTTTAGCAAAATATTAATATTTATTTTATGCTTAACCAGCTACAAAATGTTTGTATTTATCAAAATAAAATACAGATTTTAAAATAGAACTAAGAGATCTACTATATATATATATATATATATACACACACACACACACAGTGATCTTCTCACTAACCCTCTCTGTTCCCCCACCATGTTTCATGAAGGCCAACACTTTCAGCTTTTAGCTACTTTTTTGCTGTTGGATTCCATTTTATAATGAATTTGGATGCTATTTACTCAAGTACAAATTTCGGATTTCTGTATTGAGCTCTTATATTAATGATAAGCAGGTTGAATCTACAGTAATATTTATATTACTAAGATTACACAAACATAATGGTCTTTAATTATACAAATATTTCCTTTCTCATTCAACTTTTTATCTTTAATGCATTAGTAATCACATTATTTTTCCTCTTGCTTTGTTTTCTATATGCTTAATATTATTTATTTTCTACAAATGCTCTGATAGATCTGGTCTAAGTGTTTCAAAATCTTCAGGCTGCTTATTTGACCCATTTTTTTTTTTCTTCCTGGGAAGCTTCTACCCTTTGGCACTACATTCTTCTGCTCCAGTCCCAACTAGCTGCTCCCTAGGAATGATGAGTTTCTCTTCTCCTGGGGCATCTCTATAGTTTTTCCATAGTAATTTCCTGAAACTATGACTTTTTATCTCTTAGCTTACTAGCTTGTTTAACTTGAATAGATCTGATAGTACATGAGAAGTAAAATTTTTGAGCCTTTCATTTCTACTTTCATATGTTTTGATAGTTTAGCTGGATATAGAATTCTATTTCCAAAAGCATTTTTCCTCAGAATTTTGAAGACATTTCTTCAATCTTTAGTTTTCAGTGATGCTATTGAGAAACCCATGGACATTCAATTCCTGATATTTTATGTATTTGTCTTGACTTTTTTTCACTAGAAGCTTCTATAATGTGATATGCTTTGATGTAACTCTTTTGCAACTTCAGGCCCTTTCAGTCTTGAGACTGACTCATGGACAATTCAATGTCTCCTCATTTTCTCTGTCCTCTCTTTTTGGAACTATCATTGTCAGAGGTTGAAAATTCTTGACTGATTTTCAAATTTTCGTATCCCTTTGCTCTTATTTGCATTCTTTCTTGTCTTTTTGTCTGCCATCTGAGACTGGAATCTTCCACACTATTGAATTTTTCATTTCTGTGCTCATATTTCCATACTTTTCAAGGATTGTTTCTTGTTCTGTTGATGTTTCATAACATCTGGTTCCTTTATGAGTCTGTTACTAGATTTCTGCAAACACTAAATATAGATTTTCCAAAGGTTTATTCTTATCAATATTATCTTTGTTTCTTTCACATTCTAGTTCATTATTTTCTGATTTGTATTGTGTCTCTGTTTGGTATTAGATTATTTCTTCACGTGTTTGATGATCCTTGACTGTCACTTCATAAGTTGACTAATCAATGTATTTGTTTTTATTTTTTAAAGATTTATTTATTTGAAAGGCAGAGTTACAGAGAGATAGGGAGAAAGGAAAAAGAGGGAGGGAGAGAGAGAGAGATAAAGAGAGAGAGAGAGAGAGAGAGAGGTCTTCCATCCTCTGCTGGTTCACTCCCCAAATGGCTGCAATGGCCTGAGCTGGGCCAGGCTAAAGCCGAGAGACAAGAGCTTCTTCCATGTCTGCCATGTCGGGTGGCAGGGTCCCAAACACTTGGGCCATTTCTGCTGCTTTCCAAGGCATATTATCAGGGAACTGGATTGGAAGTGGAACAGTGAACCAGAGCCTGTATGGAAAGCCAGCATCACAGGCAGTGGCTTAAGCTGCTAAACTACCACACCAGCTCCAACTAATCAATTTAAAGTTGACTGTGTTCATGAGTGGGTTTGTTCACTGGTGGACTTCATAACATACTGATTGGCTGGGGGCCTGATTGTTTCATTAGGGGACCCCTAGATATCACTACCTGTGAGTCTTTTATCTGGGGCTCTCAGTTTTTCCAGAGGAGAATCCATATCTGCTTCCATGGTTCTTGGAACTAAATTGGGTTAGACAGTTGACTCCATGCTACCAGGAGGTTGAATTTTCCTTACTCTCTTGTCCCTTATTATGGTATAATAGGAATAGCTGTTGGCATCTTTGAGATGATCCATAAATCTGGGGGTTATCACTGTGTCTTGTGCAAGGGAACTTCAAAAAGTTTTTGGAATAATAGAATTTAAAATAAGTTTATTCTGTTTCAAAAAAAATTGAAATCCAGGCATAATTTTTTCATTATGTATTCCTTGATGACCCCTTGTGTAGGCTTTCAAATAACCTTCATATTTTCAGCTCATCACCTCACCTATACTTTGTATCTCCAATTTTTTGCATTTTCCCAGAATTCTGTGGGGTAACTGGGTTTGCCTCTTTTTTGCATTCCCCTCTGTTGTCACTTAGGTTCTATCTTTCTCACCTCTGTGAAGTCCATTACCTTTCCTACTTTATTTCATCTTCAAAAATTGTGGAAATCTTTCCTTATGTGTTTTCTTCATTCCTGTTCTCTTGATCTTTGTTGGGTCACCATTTTTATTCCTTCACTAGCATTCTGTCCCTGTCAGCACATCAGAACTAAATTTAAACCCTCAGTCAAGAGACAGTCTAGAGTAAGGAATAGAGAAAGGTAACTGAAACGTGAAGTTTCCTTGTTGATTTGGATGTACTTTGGTGGCCTTGATTCTGTAGGAATATTCTAATTCCTTTGGAAATGTAAGATGCTGGTGAAGAAAATAATTATAGGGGCCGATGCTGTGGCACAGCAGGTAAAGCCACTGCCTGTAGTGCTGGCATCCCATATAGGTGCTAGTTCAAGTCCTGGCTGCTCCACTTCCAATCCAGCTCTCTGCTGTGGCCTGGGAAAGCAGTGAAGGATGGCCCAAGTGCTTGGGCCCCTGCACCTGCATGGGAGACCTGGGAGAAGCTCCTGGCTCCTGACTTCGGATAAGCCCAGCTCCTGACGTTGTTGCCATTTGTGGAGTGAACCAGTGGACAGAAGACCTCCCTCTATCTTTCTCTCTGCCTCTGCCTCTCTGCTCTGCCCTTCAAATTAATAAATAAATCTTTAAAAATAAAAACAAAGAAAAGAAAAGAAAATGACTGTGAAGGAGTTCACAAGGCACTGTAGCAGAACAGAGGGCAACATCTCAGAAGAAAAGGCCGAAGCAGTGGGGTCTCCTATTCTTACTTGATCAATGTGGACTATAAGAACAGCAACAGAAAAGGCAGAACATGCAAATTCAAATAACAGCCAGAGGCCAGTCAGCGTGCACTAGATACAAGGGCACTTCAAAAAGTCCCTGGGAAATAGAATTTAAAAATAAGTTTACTTGGGTACAAATTTTTTTTTGAAACTTATGCATAGTTTTTTCACAATGTGCCTTTTCCATGGACTTTTGGAAGATTCCTCGTGTAAGGAAAATGAACTTCCAGAAACAGAAGCAAATGTTATTTAGGAAATTTGTAACACTAAATGAGTAGAAATCAAAGATGTGAAAACTATTTTTCAATATCATGATGATGAATTATGTAGTCAATGGGCTTCAGTTCTGGGGCTTTTTAAAACCTCAGCATAGGTTTTCTTGAATAAACAAATCAAATATCAACAGAGACCATTACAGAATCCTGATTGATTATACTCAGTCTACATCAATTATCTAAACCTCTTCTCAATTTTAAAAAATTTCACTGACAGTTTGACTCAACACAATTTTCAGAAGTTCTATGACCAAATAAAAAATATTAGTATTTCAAAGGTTGGGTTGGATAGTTTCTATTATCATTTTTAGCTATAGTCATTTTTATATTCATGTGCCATAAATATAATTTTCCATTCAACTTGGACATTCTCAATGTTAGGTTAAATGCACTGAGCAATAGAACTTTTGGTTAGTTTAGCACTTGAAAATGCTATTTCTGTTAAGAAGCCACTACTTCCTCATTCAACAGCCCAAATGCAACTCTAGCAGAGTGTGGATGAAAGTGGAGGACATAACTCTAAGTGGAATGAGCCAGGAACAGCGAGACAAATCCTGCTTATTCTCTCCCATATGTGGGTGGTGGAAAAAAAAAAAAAAAAAAAAAACAACAAAACAACAAAGCAAAACAAAAGCACCTCAGTGTGAACACAGAAGAGTGATTATTGGAGTCTGGGAGGGGTGGAGAGGACACAGTTAGTTTAGATAATTGGTAGCCAATCAGAACTGGATGGCAAGAATGAGTTACTAGTTTTATAAAACATTGTTGGGTGGCAGTCATTCATAATAACTCAGTGCATAGTTTATGAATGAACAGAAGAAAGGAGCTCCAAGCCTCCAAAGTAAAGTAATTTTTAAGAAGAAGAAATGCAGATAGTTCTTTTTTTTTTTTTTTTTTTTGACAGGCAGAGTGGACAGTGAGAGAGAGAAAGACAGAGAGAAAGGTCTTCCTTCCATTGGTTCACCCCCCAAATGGCCGCTACGGCCGACGCTGCACCAATCTGAAGCCAGGAGCCAGGTGCTTCCTCCTGGTCTCTCTCTCTTTTTTTTTTTTTTTTGACAGGCACAGTGGACAGTGAGAGAGAGAGAGACAGAGAGAAAGGTCATCCTTTCACCATTGGTTCACCCTCCAATGGCCTCTGCGGCTAGCACACCACGCTTATCTGAAGCCAGGAGCCAGGTGCTTATCCTGGTCTCCCATGGGGTGCAGGGCCCAAGTTCTTGGGCCATTCTCCACTGAACTCCCGGGCCACAGCAGAGAGCTGGCCTGGAAGAGGGGCAACCGGGACAGACTCCGGCGCCCCAACCGGGACTAGAACCCGGTGTGCCGGCGCCGCAAGGCGGAGGATTAGCCTATTGAGCTACGGTGCTGGCCCCTCCTGGTCTCCCATGTGGATGCAGGGGCCCAAGTGCTCAGGCCATCCTCCACTGCCTTCCCGGGCCACAGCAGAGAGCTGGACTGGAAGAGAAGCAACCGGGACTAGAACCCGGTGCCCATATGGGATGCCAGTACTGCAAGGCAGAGGTTAACCAAGTGAGCCACGCCGCCGGCCCCAGATAGTTCTTCTTTAATCAGTACATACTGCATACATGTATGGCAATTTCATGCTGTATAGTTATTGTTAATAAATTGTCTTTAAAAATGAAAAAAAAGAGTTCTGACACCAAGACAATTTTTTCACTTAAAGTGTTCTACAGAAGAATTATTCAGCTGTCGAATTAAAAGCAAAGCGTTTCATTATAAGCCCTTTAGTCACATTTAAAATTCCATCTTTAAACATACATTGCTTTGATTTAAAAATTTACTTTTTCAAAAAAGTAACAAATATCTAAGAATATTCTTCACTTCCCACAGATAAATGTGTTCAAATGCATTTTCTTAAAACAGGATGATCTCTTGGTACAGTTTTCATTGTCTCCGTTTTAATTTTTAAAAGATGGGTATAGGGGCTGGCACTGTGGCGTAGTGGGCTAAGCCTCTGCCTGCGGCACCAGCATCCCATATGGGTGCCAGTTCAAGTCCCAGCTGCTCCATTTCTCATCCAGCTCTCTGCTGTGGCCTGGGAGAGCAGTGCAAGATGGCCCAAGTGCTTGGGCACCTGCACCCCCATGGGAGACCCAGACAAAGCTCCTGGCTCCTGGCTTTGGATCGGCACAGCTCCAGCCATTGCGGCCATCTGGGGAGTGAACCAGAGGACAGAGACCTCTCCCTCTCTCTGCAACCCCACCTCTGGGTACGAGGATACTTCACCTCTGTCTTTCGGGTTCTGTACCTGCATCAACTTCTGTTCCTTTCCTGTCTTTCATGTTGCGGTGTCTGGGCATTTCTCTCCGTGCTATGCTAAAATCGTAGTTGTTGACGATCAAACAGTATCCCCGAGGTTTGCTTTTCATTTGGTAAACTTCTTCTGATGTCTGGAAAACAAAAACCCAACCCAAGCGCTGACTGCGGGTCAAACACAACCATCTAAAGAGACAATGCCCTGGGAAGAGTTGCCCTGGGAAGCGAGTGTGGTCTCCCCTGCCCTCTGCCAGCTGGGGCTCATCTCCCTGCAGACCTAGTTCCCATCCAGAACCCTTCCCACAGTTCTAAAGCCACTAGTCCTGTCCTGGGCCCGGTCAGCTCTTTGCACATCAAAAAGGTTGTGGAATAATAGAATTAAAAGAGAAGTTTGTCTTGGTGCCCAAAATTTTTGGAACCCATGCATAGTCTTTTCATAAAACACATTTCCTCTGAGCTTTAAGAAGATCTTTCACACACACGAGTTTCAGAAATATTGGCACCAAAACAAATTTAGTTTTTAATTCCATCTTCCATATACTTGCTGAAGTACTCTCACGCTAACATTGCTGTCATCATGTCGTAGGATCATCAGTTATTCTATCTGCTTCCTTCACTGAACAGAAATGTCCTCAGACAGGTAACATTTGTGCCAGAAGCCAGCATTTATTCATTTAGAACTCCATCAAGAGTGAATGAATGAATGTCTCCGGGCTGCCCTGCCATGACCTTGTGATTATCTGGGCTGGGCTTCTTGGCTAACCCCTGAGAGCCTGACCCTCACACAAGACTCAGTGTGACCCCAGGGATTTGAAAGCTATTGGCTTAACCCTTCTCAGGGGAGGGTACCACGACCGCAGTGCCTGACAGTACAGGCAGAGCTGGCCCTGGGTCGTGCTCATCTTCCTAGGGCTGGTTCAGCGCTAAGAATCTCAGAACTTAGTTGGAAATCTACACAGCCCCTTAAGGCAGGTAAAGGACTCCAGGCTAGGAATCAAATTCCTGGTTGTTGCCTTTCCTAAATGTAACACTTTGGGCTAAAGTTATCTGATTTCTTAGTATCTTAGTTTGCTGACTAAGACCATACACGCTTTATGAAGCACCTGCTAAGATCGTCATTTATAATTTACTATTCCAGGTGCTCATTATTTACTCTGCACAGTACATAGATTTTCTAAGACATTAAATTTGAGCATGGTTAGCTGTTCCGAGGGAGTACGCTGGCGGAACCTGAGACCACTCACAGAGTACCCGGTACTCAGGGACTCCTTCGTGGTCCAGACTGAGAGGACGCTGTGGTAATCTTCTCAGACACGCACACTGGTAAAGACCCCTGTCAAGCTTGACCCTGGCAGCCGTGTGCCTCAGCCTCCCGCCACCCGGAGGAGAGACCCGGTCAGTGAGTGGGAAGGTACTCCGTGAGCTGCGGAAGGTTACACACACAGCAAGTATTGCGCTACTGTGTCGAGAAAACAAAGTTCTCCACTGGCTCCTTGAGACGACAGAGACGGCTGGATGCCCTATGGGCTGCTTGTTCCTAACCACCCAGAGGAACACCTCTGGCAGGTCAAGCAGGAAGCAAAGGTCCTGCTCATTCCAGTGGGGCTGGATGCTCCTCCCAAGTCCTGACCTTGCTGCCCCGTGAGGTGTGGGGCCTCCACACCCCCACCCTCCAGCCATCCCCAATTCCTTTGTCCTTCGCTTTAACATAAAAAATGAATGCATTGAAAACTGAAGAGGTTGCACTCAAAAAAAATCATGGCACATTTTTAATTTCTCCTGTGGATTTTTTTTTAACCATTCTCAAAATTGTCAGTGTCTGCCCTTTACTGGTTTATCTGGCAGTTGAAAGAAAAATCGACCAACCAGTCCAATAACCCAATCTGCTGTGCAGAGGGAGAAAGGTTCAGAGGTTTCCACGCACCTGTGCCTTGCTCGCTGGCTCCCCTGGACAGTCTGACAGTGCCAGCACTCCATATGGCTCCTCCCCTACAAGCAAGCAGAGACACCTACAATGAGACATGGCAGGAAAAGCACTTGGGTAAAGAAGCCTACAGAACCTCCTAGAACAACTGAGGTACTTTTTATTTATTTATTTATTTTATTTGAAAGGCAGAGTTAGAGGAAGAGAGAGAGGGAGGGAGAGAAAGATCTTTCATGTACTAGTTCACTCTTCAAATGGCCCTATCGGCCAGGGTTAGGCCAGGTCGAAGCCAGGAGCCAGGAGCTTCCTCCAGGTCTCTCATGTGGGTGCAGGGGCCCCAGCACCTGGGCCATCCCCCACTGCTTTCTCAGGCCATTAGCAGGGAGTTGGATTGGAAGTGGAGCAGCCAGGGCAGGAATCGGTGCCCACGTGGGATGCCTGACTGCAGGGAGTGGTTTAACCCACAGAGCCACTTCCAGCCTCGAGGTACTTTCTCCAATGAGAACTCACAGACTGCCTGAACAGAAGCTCCGGCTTCCGAAACACAGGCTTCAACCATCATCACCAGAGGGAAAACCGTGACCAGGCAAGCAGCACCTTACCTCTGTACTCCTCCACATGGGCAGCTTGAATGCTGTGCATTCGTGAGACATTTATGAACAGAACCATTAGCTCAGCAGGAATGACTGATTCAAAAGTATTTCACTCCTCAAAGAACTCTGAAAGTCTCAGACTCAAGCACACAGCGGAGAGAGGAAGGACTGGCCATGTGGACATTGTGCAGGCTTAATCTTGGAGAGTGACCCAAAAGCATGGATTGTACACACAGACACACACACACACACACCATGCACACACCACAAGAAGCCAGGATGTCTTTAAAAAAAAAAAAAAAGGCGGGGAAGGGAGGCAGCATTGTGGCGTAGTAGGTTAAGCCTCTGCATGTGACGCCAGCATCCCCTATGGGCTCCAGTTCGAGTCCCGGCTGCACCACTTCTGATCCAGCTCCCTGCCAATGTGCCCAAGAAAACAGCAGAAGATGCCAAGTGCTTGGGTTCCTGCACCTACATAGGAAACCTAGAAGCAGCTTCTGGCTTCTGGCCCCTGGCTGCAGCCTGACCCAGCCCTGGCTGTTGCTGGCATTTGGGGAGTGAACCAGCAGATGGAAGATCTCTCTCTCTCTCTCTCTCTCTCCTCTTTCTGTAATTCTGCCTTTCAAGTAAATTTTTTTAAAAAGCCAGCACAACAAGACAATAAAAATGTTAATATTAATGTCTATGGGGTGGTAGTTTTACTGGGTTTTTCAATTTTTTCTGAGTCTAGAATCATCTTCTGTGAGTATATATAGCTTTTTTTTTTTTTTTTTGACAGGCAGAGTGGACAGTGAGAGAGAGAGACAGAGAGAAAGGTCTTCCTTTTGCCGTTGGTTCACCCTCCAATGGCCAATGCAGCCGGCGCGATGCAGCTGGCACACCTCGCTGATCCGAAGCCAGGAGCCAGGTGCTTATCCTGGTCTCCCATGCGGGTGCAGGGCCCAAGGACTTGGGCCATCCTCCACTGCACTCCTGGGCCACAGCAGAGAGCTGTCCTGGAAGAGGGGCAACTGGGACAGACTCCGGCGCCCCAACCGGGACTAGAACCCCGGGGTGCTGGCGCCGCAAGGCGGAGGATTAGCCTAGTGAGCCGCGGCACCGGCCCAAGTATATATAGTTTTTATAGTTACCAAGAATACATGATTGATCAACATTTTGAAGGAGATCCTTGTGGGTGCCTGGCTTCCCCGGGTAGGAAGTGCATGGAGGATGGGACCAGGTTCCTTCTGGATAAGAAAGGGAGTTTGGCAGAAGCAGCCCAAGGGGAGGCAGGCAGATGGGGGTGGGGCTCAGGTGTGTGGGCAGGCCAGGGAGCCCCGTGATGTAGTGAGGACAGAAAGGAATTATTCAGGGGCAGGTGTTGCCATGCAGAGGTGAAGCCGCCACCTGCAACATTGACATCCTGTGGAGCATCGGTTCAAGTCCCAGCTTCTCTGGTTCTCATCCAGCGTGTTAACCACTGCCCTGGGAAGGCAGCAGGTGATGGCCCAAATACTTCAGCCTCTGCCCCCCAACTGGGAAACCGACCTAACGTTCTGGGCTCCTGGCCTCAGCCTGGTCTACCCACAGCTGTTCACGGGCTTCTGGGGCCTGGACCAGTAGATAGAAGCAGAAGATGGTCCAAATGCTTAGACCCCTGCACCCACCTGGGAGACCTGCATGAGTTCCTAATGTCAGCCTGGCTCAGCCCCAACCATCACAGCCGTTTGGGGAGTGAACCAATGGATGGAAAAATTCTCTCTCTCTCTCTCTCTCTGCCTTTCAAATAAATAAAATAACTCTTTAAAAATGAATAACTAGAAAGCTGCTTTGTTCAACAACAACAAAAACCAGAGGTTGAATTAGTCACAATTGGCCAAGGATCTTCTTGACCTGGAGGGAGCACAGAGTAAAATTTTTCTTGAGAGGGAAAAGGACTTAACCGCAGACGCCCTGAAGCAACACCCAAGCCCAGCTTCCTGGTGCGTCCCACAGGCAGTGCGTGCCGAGGGTGTAAAGGAACACGGGGCAAACAGTTCCCGCCCTGTTACCGATCGGCACCTGCTTCACACTGGCCCAGCTGGGCCTGCGGGCTCGGTGCTTTTGGCTGTGAGGAAGGCGGTTGTGGAGAAGTGGCGAGTGGCCACTGGACCTTCATGGTGACAGGAGGTGAGCTAGCAGAAGGGGAGAGGAGGCGGGGGAGTCTGTCAGGGGGCGAATGAGCACAGTCCACCTTGACACCTGCTGCCAAGACTTACCGTTTGAACATGCGCCGGGAGTTCTTCCCAGGCTCATTCTTCTCCCTGGAGCAAAAGAGAAGCCCACCCCCACATGGCTGCTTAGAAGCAGCTGCGGGCCGGGGGGGGGGGGGTTCGTGGGGGAGGGTTGGGCAGGCTCAACCCGTCCGGCTGTCCCCAGCGGTCAGGGTTGTTCTACCTTGGCTGCAGTCTTCATAATCGTGGATTTTCACCAGCAGGCTCTTGTTGATTTGCTCACAGATCTTTTTCAGGGTGTCCAAGTTTCTATCCCCAAGGAGGGCCCTCTTCTCCATCTCGATGAAGATGTCCAGCAAGCTCTGGGGGAGGAGAGGACCAGCTGAGCTGTGCTGGCTGAGAGCATGCTGGCTCCCACATCCCCTTCCTCCCAGCCAGGGGACCCCCCCTCTCACCCCAGCCGAGCCCCTGAGAGTGTGTGCTGGTCTCCTGCAGCCACCAGACTGCCGGCAGGTGAGTCTGGGTTCTCTGACCCAGACAGAGAGGGTAGAGAAGTGGCTGGGTCCCACGAGACCCTGTCCCCAGGCCCTGGGCTCAGAGTGTTTGTGGATGCTTTCCTGTGGGCACTGGGGACTGGCCCAACACATGGCTGAGACACAGCCCTGGGGACTGCCTCTGGCACGAAACCCACTTCCAGACCTGAGTTCACACACACAAAGACACAATCACAGATACAAACAAGCACACAGTCCTTCACACATACATACCCATGTACCGCACAGACATGGGGACATGCACAGACATGTAGGCACAATCACAGACCACACACACCAAACACAGAAACACATGCACACCCGTGTACATGCACACATACCACATCACAGACACAGAGATACACCTACCACAAATACATACGACTTACATGCCACACCCACAGACACACCTAGAGAGACATATACACTCCACACACACACTATCCATACAGAGACACACAGGCACAGACATATATGCCATACATAACACATACACCATCACACACCACACACAAAGAGACACACACACAAACTTATGCCGTACAGATACACACATAACCCCCTCGTCCCAGTTTCCTGAGGGACTGCAGCCGCGAGGGTCTATCTCAGGCCACCATGGCCCTCCCTGGCTGCACATGTCACACACTGGGCTGTGTGCATAAGCAGTCACCTCTCCTGGCTCCTGGCTCCTGGCTCCTGGCTCCGCCTTGCTCCCTGTACAGAGTGTGCACAGTGCTTCAGGGCAGACAGGAGTCACACCCACAACCCCTCCTGTGTGCCAGCTGCCGCCTTCTCCCTGCTTAGGTGAGACTCCAGGCTGCTTTGAGCAGAATAGCTAGCACCTCTCTTCCTCTCAGAAGTACCCCTGCTGACCGACCTGGAGGAGGTGCCGGGTCTTACCATGTTATCTTCCAGTTTACATTTGGAGATCTCCCTGCTCAAAAAAAATTTAAAAGCCTTCAATTCCAGTTGGCTTACGTCTTCTGAAATCTGGAAGAGCATGACCCTGTGAGGTGGAAATACACACTTGAGGCAGAGTTTCCCACATAATCTCCCCTCCGTAACACAGTCACAGAGGACCTGTTCCAATGGCCTCTCTGGAAAAGGAAGCCAGCTAAGGACATGATTTACGAGTGGAGTCCTGGGAGAGCGGCTGGCATGGTGACAGAATCCTGACTCACACCCAGCTATGCCACCCGGAACCATCTGAAGTTTCATCAACTTTACCTTCCAGTTCAGCTCAGTTCAACCAATCTCGTTTTTCCTTTGTCTTTCTACCCAGTGTTGATTTTTGGAAAGTATACTTTCCAAAATGCAAATTGATCATCACTTCCCTCAGGAGAACTGGCCAGTGTCCTCTGAAGTGGGGGAGGGCCAATGTTTGGTTCTGGAATACAAAGACTCCACATGGAACGCCACAGCTCTCACCAGTCCTTCATGGGTGAGCCCTGCCCCCACCCCTGATGCTCTGCCCCAGGTGCTCCGTTCCCTGTCGTCCTGCAGGTTCCTGCTCAGCCACCGAGAGCCCACTCAGCACTGCCTGGGTATCCTCAGAGCGGCATTCGCTCTGCTCTTCCTTTGTGCAACCCCAAAGGCTAACGCACAAAACATAACTTCCTGTTTATGAAACTGCCCGCATCCTCTGGTAGGCACGCCCCTGCCCTGTTTTTGTGAAATGTGATGTTTGAGTGCATGGCCCCAGACTACAGGCGTTCCACCATCTTCGAGCTGTGTGATGTGAGGCGTGCCACACATCTTTCCTTCAGTTATGTTCTGAAGGTAACTGCATCTCTCCATCACAAGCAGATGCTAAGAGTTACATAAGTAAGCACTGAAGCCAATCTTTGGCAGTGCACTAAGCAAGCAACAGGCCTTATGGTTTCCTGATCTATGACGGGCACAGCCAGGCTCTTGGAATGTGCCAGTTGAAGGGCTGAACAACGGAACGGTATAAGGTAGCAAACCCTTCAGTGTTATGGCATAAAGGAAAATAACATGGTAACTTCAAAAGCAAAGGAGAAGATTGAAATTCTTAAATAAAGAGTGTATAGAAACAGGACACTCTGTATTGTCATCTGTCGTCTTCCTTCCCAAGGAAACTCCACCATAAAGGGTTTCCCTAAAGCCCTCCCAGTTTGGCCAGGATGGGATCCAATTGGAAGCCACCATGCTTCATTACAAGGTATTCTGACTTTTTACTTTCCTCATTATCGAAACCTACATGCATTTATTTTTTATTTTTTATTTTTTTGACAGGCAGAGTGGACAGTGAGAGAGAGAGGGAGACAGAGAGAGAAAGGTCTTCCTTTTGCCATTGGTTCACCCTCCAATGGCCGCCGCGGCCGGCGTGCTGTGGCCGGCGCACCGCGCTGATCCGATGACAGGAGCCAGGTGCTTCTCCTGGTCTCCCATGGGGTGCAGGGCCCAAGTACTTGGGCCATCCTCCACTGTACTCCCTGGCCACAGCAGAGAGCTGGCCTGGAAGAGGGGCAACCGGGACAGAATCCGGCGCCCCGACCGGGACTAGAACCCGGTGTGCTGGCGCCGCAAGGCAGAGAAAATTAGCCTAGTGAGCCACGGCGCTGGCCCTACATGCTTTCTTGTACCATGATTGTCTGGTGGCAAACTTAGAGAGTTTATAAGACATTTATTTAGGGGTCAGCGACTGCACTTTGGGAAGAAAATAGCTAGTGTTTTCTGATCGTGAGAAGTGACCCCACTAACGTGTTTCCATCGCCTGACTGGTTCTCAGTGTGATAAATAAGCAGTAGCCATGATTGTGCTCCCCCTTTTGTCCCTAAGCCAATTTGTTAAAGATTTTAACACAGACTCTGACCCCCTAGGGGACTCGAGCCCCCCACCAGAAGGGTGCAGACCACTGGCTGGCACTGGCAGCCGCAGCCCGGCTCACGTGGCTGAACAAGTGGAACCTTCGGGAAACCAAGATGGCATCACAAGAGGACATCCCCATCTGTCTTAGCTCTGAGGCTGTTATTTCTTAGGATTCACTGGTGCCTTAAGGAATAAATCCCTTACAAAGCCTCCACGACTGTAGTGAATGGAAGCCGCCCCGTGTTCTTCCACGCCCCCGAAAAGCTCAAGTCTCCGAGAACATGTGACTGCGACCTTATTCGAATCCTACTGGGTTAGGATAGGCCCTGATTCAATGACTGGCATCTGCGTAAGATGAGGGCAATTCAGATCATAGAAAAAGCAGAGACGGGAGTGCTGTGTCTCTAAGACAAGGAACGCCGAGGATTGTCTTACAGAAGCCAGGAGAGAGGCACGGGGCCAGTACTCCCCCTGAGAGTCTCCAAAACGGAGCTGGCCCCGGGGAACTCTTGGACTCTACTTTGAGCCTGCAGAGCCGCTGAGGATACAGGCCTCTCTGCTGTGAGCCACCAGGGTTGTGGCATGTTGTCACATCAGCCTTAACAAAGAACCCACCCAGACGGTCTCTCTCATCACTTAAAACCAACCTGGTCACGCTTCAAACGGGGAGGGAGACCTATGACAAGGAACATGCTAGAACCTCAGGTCCCTGACAGCAGAAGGACCCCACGGGCATTAGCCAGCTCGGCTACCAGGAGGCAGTGGCTGTCAGCCGTGGCGAGGCCTCTCCAGCTCACGTGCAGTTATTGACAAGCAAGCGAGGATGAGGAAATGAGCCATAACGAAGGCTTACATGGACTTCTCGGAAAGGACAGCTAAAAATTACTTCAAGGAGCATCTGATAACAGATGTTGAAAGAAGGTGACAATGTGCTCTATGATGAGTCTTGACTCGGAATCGTGACGTTACTTAATGTGGCTGTTCTCACACCCCATGGTGGCCCCTGGCAGGACGACCCAAGGCACTGATGTTCTCCAGTGGAAGCTTGGAAGCCTGAGGACCACTGGGCTCACTGGAAGTAAGCAGGCAGCTCAGTAGAGAGCTTTGCCATTTAAGTCTTTAAGTGTAGAATAGAAGCCTTGGCCCACTGAAAATCTTCCCAGGCACCCACAGGCCGGTGGGAAGTAGTGGTGCTGTACCCAATGAATGGGCAAAATGAACACACAATAGGGGCATCAGAAAAGCAGAGGCCGACAGGAAGACAGAGACAGAGATCAGAACATGCGGGGAAAGGCTAACCTTAGCCCATCGATTGCTAATTTGCTTTGAAAAAGAAATGTGTATTTTATGATCTTAGTACATTTTTCTTTTGCTGAATTATACATAAGATTCTAGATTTCTTAACCTGTTGGGACATCTGTACAGACAACCCCGGGTCAGCCCTGCCCACAAGATGCGCACATTCAACTCTGAGCCCCCAGTGCCCACGCTGGAGTTTGCACCCACCTGTAGGCAGAAATATGGGCCCTGCCTGGGATCTGCAGCTCCGTCACCATCTCCTCCTTGCTAGTGCCCAGCAGAGTGCTCAGCAGATCCAGTCTGTGGATTCGGAAGAGCAGCTCCTTCAGGAAGGCCAGGTTGTTCTCCTCCAGCATGCGCTTCTCCTGGAGTCTCTGGAATAGCATCAAGGCATCCTGGATGGGCTCCTGCTTCCTTTGTGGGATGTAATCCAGGCTCAGGAACTTCAGGGAGGCCAGCTCCTCGCTGTCCAGCTGCTCCCCAATTTTGTAAAGACAACTGGATAAATCCATGCTTGTCAGGAGGAAGGAGAACGTAGCTGCAACCTAGGGGAAAACAGAAGGCTGGGCAGGTGCTGTGGTGCGGTGGGTTCAGCTGCTGCCTGCAACACCAGCATCCTATATGGGTGCTAATTCAAGTCCCAGCTGCTCCACTTCTAACCCAGCTCCCTGTTAATGTGCCTGGAAAAACAGTGGAGGATGGACCCCTGCCACCTACATGGGAGACCCAGATGGAGTTTCAAGCTCTTGGCTTCAGTCCAGCCTAGCCCTGGCTATTGTGGCCATTTGGGGAGTGATCCAGTTGATAGAAGATCTTTCTCTCTCTCTCTCTCTCTCTCTCTCCATCACTCTGCCTTTTAAATAAATAATATCTTAAAACACATAGAAAGCTATGTTCAGATGAGGAAGACAAGTACCATTTACTGGTTTGTTTCTTCATCAAATGCTATTGTGTCTGCCAGACATTTTTCCATGGATTCAGGAAAAAGAAAAGAAGAATAACAACAAACAGGACACGTGTCTGCTCTCAGGCAGTTTGCTTTTAGGGGGTGGCTACACCGACAAGCCAGTAGTCAGAGTTGTGATGTAACCAGGGTGCAGCAGGAACACAGAGGAAGCAGATGGAACTGAGCCTAGGAGTGGGGCTGCCTGTGCTCATTCTCCTGAGAAACAATTGATGCAAAAGATGGAGACACGAACGTGAAGCTGCTCCAGGCAGGCTGTAATTTCCGGAAGTCACCACCAGACGTCTGGGGTGGGGAGAGGTGGCACAAAGGGCTGATGCCAGAGCCATGTAGGCCATGTCCCACAGGGCCTCGGCCTGCTGGGCAGGGCTCAGGTTTTGGCCTGCAGGTGATGGGGAATTCAGAAAGGACTGTAAAACTGGGAGTGACGTCATCTAATCTAGGCTCGGCACTTAAAGTGTGGAGGACAGATTGGAGAGTCGGAGGCAGGAGAGCTCCCAGCACCTGCCTTTAACTGGTGGCTGCCGGAGCGGTGGAGCCTGATTGAAACAGTGGTGGGTGGGGGATGTCCTGGTGCAGCCCCATTCCCCAAGAGCCTCAGATCCGCGCCTGCAGCTGGCCAGGAACCCAAGCCCGGAAGCTGAACCAATTCAACACCGAGGGCCCTTTTCTTTTTTCTAAAGTTTTTACAGTGTTTAAGGACAAGAAGGGGCCGGCACCATGGCTCACTTGGTTAATCTTCCGCCTGTGGCACCGGCATCCCATATGGGTGCCGGGTTCTAGTCCTGGTTGCTCCTCTTCCAGTCCAGCTCTCTGTTGTGGCCCAGGAGGGCAGTGGAGGATGGCCCAAGTGCTTGGGCCCCTGCACCCGCATGGGAGACCAGGAAGAAGTACCTAGCTCCTGGCTTCAGATCAGCGCAATGTGCCGGCGGTGGTGGCCATTTGGGGAGTGAACCAATGGAAGGAAGATCTTTCTGTCTCTCTCTCTCTACCTATAACTCTACCTGCCAAATAAAACAAACAAACAAAGGACAAGAAAGCAGTATCTCTGAGAAGTTCGCTTGTTTTGACAGAATCAAAATGAGCATTTTATCATTATCACTCCTGGTATATCAAACTGATTGGCAGGAATGCAAGAAAGTCTGACTTGGAAATATTGCATAGAAAAAGTTTGAATTCACAAACATTACACTTTCAAGGCTTTGCCTATAAGTCTACATTAACACCTACTTATCTGATAGCAGCACTGCTGGTTTTAAAGGAGCTTGTTTGTTTTTTTCCTTCCAGAGGGAATGAAGAATGGCAGTATCATCTCTGGAACAAATTACTAAGCTAGTAACAAACCACAGAGGAATAGCTTCTCCACACAACTCAAGGGCAATAAACAGATAAGAATATAATTACAGGGAAAGGGGCCTCCACTATGCTGCTTTGAATTGCTCAAAATTTATTGTTATTATTAAAATATAATGCACCATCACTACGATCTGTTCTGGGAAAAAACAAACCATGAGGTTAGAGTTTTCTTTCTTAACCAAGAGAACAGCCAGAGCAAATCTGTCTTAGCCACTGGTGTTCTGTAGAATGATTATCAATAGACATTTATTCCAGGTTACAACTAAGAGACAAACCAAGTATTTTGCAGCCAAATTTTATACCCCAAATAGGTTCTCTGATGATTTATCATGCTACCATAGGAAATTTGAACAAATAACAAATTGTATAACATAAATAGACATGCAGTATGGGATGACATAAAAGATACAACTTGACCCTGGATTTTTCCTTTAGAATAATTCCTTTCATGAATAAGACTTTACTTTTTACATCTAGACTTACACTATATCTGGTCTGGTATCATGAAGAAAGTTAATGACACAGTTTATAAAAAAATCTCAACTACATATTTTATTTTAGTTTTTTGTCTCCCTAAACCACACACACACACACACACACACACACAAATTCTCCAAGTGGATGCCCAGGTTAGGTTGTGATGTTCTTAAGTAAACAAATTTATTGGCTGGCGCTGTGGCTCACAAGGCTAATCCTCCGCCTGTGGCGCCAGTACCCCAGGTTCTAGTCCTAGTTGGGGCGTCGGATTCTGTCCCGGTTGCCCCTCTTCCAGGCCAGCTCTCTGCTGTGGCCCGGGAGTGCAGTGGAGGATGGCCCAAGTGCTTGGGCCCTGCACCCCATGGGAGACCAGGAGAAGCATCTGGCTCCTGGCTTTGGATCGGCACAGCATGCCGGCTGTAGCAGCCATTTGGGGGATGAAGCAACGGAAAGGAAGACCTTTCTCTCTGTCTGTCTCTCTCTCTCACTGTCTAACTCTGGCTGTAAAAAAAAAAAAGTAACAAATTTATTAAGAGTTGGAATATAAATCATACAATTACTTGCAGCAGCAATAGTCTTTTTAAAAATGGCTAAAACAGGGATCAGTGCTGTAGCATAGCGGGTAAAGCCGCCGCCTGCAGTACCAGCATCCCATATGGGTGCCAGTTTGAGTTCGAGTCCTGGCTGTTCCACTTCTGATCCAACTCTCTGCTGTGGCCTGGGAAAGCAGTAGAAGATGGCCCAAGTCCTTGGACCCCTGCACCGGCATGAGAGATCTGGAAGAAGTTTCTGGCTCCTGGCTTTGGATCAGCTCAGCTCTAGCCACTGCGGCCAGTTGGGGAGTGAACCAGCGGATGGAAGATCTCTCTCTCTCTCTCTTTCCTTTTCTCTCTGTGTAACTCTTTCAAGGAAATAAATAAATATTTTAAAAAATGGCTAAAACAAATTTTTAAATTAAGTCATACACAAAGGACTATTAAGGATAGTTTTCCAAACAATACCTAGAAAGACAGGAAAATATTTGTTGCCTCATAATAAAGTTAAATAAATATTCTTTCTGAATCCTGTAAACACTATAAGATGCTTTGAGTTTATTTGGTTCCCATAAGGTAAAACACATGATTACTTTTATATAAGTTCCTCCAAATTCCTCCAAATTCTTACCTTCTCTCAAACTCTTATCTTTTTTTTTTTTTTAGATTTTTATTTATTTATTTGACAGGTAGAATTACAGACAGTGAGAAAAAGAGAGAGAGAGAGAGAGAGAGAGAGAGGTCTTCCTTCCATTGGTTCACTTCCCAAATGGCTGCAACAGATGGAACTATGCTGATCTGAAGCCAGGAGCCAGAAGTCTCCTCCAGGTCTCCCATGTGGGTGCAGGGCCCAAGGACCTGGGCCATCCTCCACTGCCCTCCCGGGCCATAGCAGAGAGCTGGACTGGAAGAGGAGCAACCAGGACTAGAACCCGGAGCCCATATGGGATACTGTCGCCGCAGGTGGAGGATTAACCTAGTGCGCCACAGCGCCGGCCACTCAAACTCTTATTGATGTCTTCACTGGACTTGGAGATTATCTCTTTCAGAAGTATGCTTTTTTGTTGGTTTTAATAATTACACTTAATTTTCTAGCAATAAACATGATTTAAAATTTAAGGTTCATGTAATTTTAGGCAAAGGTAGACATCAAAGCATCTACTTTTCTACATCCTTATATTTACAAAGCCTCGCATCCACTGTGGTTTGCTCCTTAAACTCACTGATCATGTTGTCAATGAATAAACTTTGCCCACTTACATTAAAGATTTCAAGATTCCTCAAAATTTCACAACACCACAGTTATTAAGATCTAATTTTCTTAGATTATAAGTATCAGTGTTATGCAATTTTTTGCTATTGGAAAAGAAATAAAAATTTTTGTTTTCTCTATATATTATATCCAAGCTCCATTATCAGTTCTCAAGATAATGTCTAAAATGGACATTAATAAAGAAAAATAAAGCTGCTCAAGGACTGAACTTATTCAGTATACAGTTAAGACTTCCTTAATCCTGCTATATTTTTGTCTTCTTTTTTTTCCCCCCTTTTTAAATTCCTATATTAAACCCTTGGTTGCTCATGGATTCAATCATTTATTATCAAAAATTTCAGAAACTTATGCTAATACATAGATTTAGGAAGGAATCAGACCAAATCTATTACCTCCATTAATAGTTAGAACAGAAGACAAAATAGCTAGCTGATATGAGTTGTGAATGTCACTATGACACAAAATATGGTGTGATTCACTTGTCTGGCTACAGGTAGAGTCGTTTTGTGAGTGACAACACACAGCATTTCCTACTTCTAACATGAAACTCCAGCTCATGAAGAATGTGCTGCACGACTTGAAAGTTTGTAACAGAGTAACAACTTTTCCCAGAAAATCATGAACAAAACCCCTTGGGAAATCAGGCACAGTGGGTATTTATCGTTTTCTTCCTTTCCTCCTGTGGTTTCCTTTCTTGAGACAAACAGGTGGTTCCAACAGAATCCAACACACCTGTTAAAAAACGACACGGCTGGCTTTTTTTCCTTTTCCTTTTCTTTTTCAGGGTTCCTTTCATTTGAGCTCAGTATTCCATGTTGTTTTCCACTTGATGGAGAAGCTGGTACTAATTGGCTGTGCTGCTTGATCTTGATCTTGATGAGAAGCCTACCCATCCTCTTCCTCTCCAAGAAACTCCCAAGTTTCCTTGCTAGTTCCAAATCA